CGGACAATGTTTTGTGAAATAAGTAGTGCAATTGATTTGTGTAGGAATGGGATAATTTGTTTATCTGTTATAGCATTATACCCGTAGCTTCCTTTGGGGTTTGAAATAAGAGCTAGATGGTTTGGTCATGGGTGGATGGATAGGGTTTTTGTAATTCACATCTTACATGAATAGAATAAGAAAAAAACAAATGGAGAGATTAAACACATCAAGAATAACTCATCTGCATCTTGCTTATATTTTTTTTTTCTTTTTTGGTTATATTCTTAATCTACTCTTTGCTTGAATAGATATTTGATGAAGTTCTTGATCTAGAGAGATCTGTGCGCACTCTTGACTTATCATGCAACAAATTAGGTGATGCTTGCTATTTTTCTTATTATTGTTTTCAATCAAGTGAGAAATCATTACTGTGAATCTTTTTCTACATGTAAATATAATTAAGCTTCAGAGCATGTACAGTGAAGTTGATCCCTTCTTCCTTTTTCTCTGCAGTTGACATTCCTATCGATATCAGCAAATTAATCAACATATGCAGTGCCTGGTAAGACCTGCATTTCACAGTAGTTTACATTCATTATAGCTGTATTTGGAGGCATGATTCAACATAACTCGTATGAAAGCTCTTTTTTGATAATTCAGAATTTTCAAACCTTCGATTATATATATATTTTTAATAGACAATAAAACTACTTTTTCACCAAGTTAAGAACTATAGTAGATACATTGCTTATATTGACTTTGAAGTTAATGTTTTTCTTTGTCTGTGAAAGTATATCTTATTCTCCTGATGTCTATGCAGGAAGTAATGTTTTTCTTTGTGCAGCTAATGGTCAAGTGCTGCCCCCCACCTCCTACAGCAACTTTTCTTGTCTTGCATCTAAAGGTCGTCTACTAGTAGGCCAGAGAACTGTTTTGTCAATGATATAACTGTTACAATTATGGAAGCTCGTTAGCATTAAGTACTTCCATAATTGATAGAGTGTGTATATATTTTGCTGTGTATGTCTTGAGTTGAGTTAGATTTATACATATAGTTCAGTTTCAAAGAAATACCACATTGATATATAGAAAATATCTTATGAGCTGAAAAGTATTTTGGGGGATTGACTCTGTGTGTTTGTCTTTGATCTTTCTCCTTATAAACATTGAATACTGCAATATTTATTCCTTGGATTGAATTGTATGGTCAACTTGAAATTAAAATAATCAATAATGATCCAAGAGCGCATAGTCATTAGTCGTGCTAAAGAAGTCACAGCTGAAAAGAACTTCCATTTGAATTTTGATTAAATAACACAAAGAAGATCATCACATATTCCGAGATTCACACAGAGACATGGTTTACTAAACCATGGGATGATAAAAGAATTAACTGTATTTCATTCACATAAAAATCTAATTGTCAGATGAATCTTTGATTCACCATACATCAAATATGGATAAAAAAATCAATTAACTAATAAAGTGAATCAGGCTAAACTATTTTGTACATCCAAAACTCAAGCATCAACAGAAACAAGAGGATGTTGCAGCAACTCTTCGGCAGTCCGAAAGCATTACACACCTCAAAATTAGATTATGAAATGAAATTCAAGTTACAAATTTTAGCTTGAATGTGTAAACAAAAGAGTAGTGATATTACAATTATCAATAGGATCAGTGCAAAGCACACAAACTGCACAAACTGCCCAAACACCTCCCAAACACTGCCCAGACTACAAACGCACAGGTCTCTCTCCCAAATTACAACTTCAAAGTCCTTTAGCCTCCCATTCCTCTTCTGCACTTCTTGTAACTTGTATTTCTCGGTTATCATTATCCTAATTTATTGAAATCACAGTAAAGCTAAAATTAGAATATAATAATACTTAAAAAAGGTAGAATAATACCATAAACAAAATTAAAATCATATTACTAAATAAAAAGAGATTACCTCAACGACTTTGAATTGAGAAGAAGAGTTCTTTGATTTCTTTTGACTACACTCTTCCATCGTTCGTACTATACCGCAAACATGTTACCCTAAATAAAATACAAAAGAATAATTTTCCCTAATTAGTAACACATATGTGACCCAAATATAGTGATACCATTGTTATGAAATTAAAGGATTCATTAAAATTAAACCACCTTGAGGAGAATTCAAAACCAGTACTCATTAATTTGTGGCATTAAGGCTATACTTAAAGCTTACCAGCTTAAATGTTATCAACTTAAACTCATACTTAAAGCTTACCATCTTAAATGTTGTCAACTTAAATTCATACTTAAAGCTTAGTAGCTCAAATGTTATCAACTTGAACGATTATGCATTTACGGGGAAGTTATGTGAGATGAGCAGACCATGCCATAAAAATTACTTTACATCAATAGTAAGAGAAGTAAAAAGAACCAAGGTAGAAGACAAACTTTTCCATTTCTCAAAACCAACAGCCAAAATAAAGGGGACATTTATTTTCAATGAAAGAAAAGTTTATCAATCTTTCTTAATCCATAAAAACGCACATAGGCAAGGAAAAAAGGTGCTCAAACAAGCACAAACAAAAGATAGGATTCTTTAAGTTGGCCATTTAGAAATAATGTGGTTCATAGCCATCATGACCAAAGATCGGGTCTATAGCCTCAATACAAAATCTAACATCACAGATCAAAACAATAACATGCCTACATCCATACCTTACAGGCTGTGATGTTGGTTCCTTTATCTTACCGGCAACCTCGTTTTGGTGGCTTTGGTAAAGGACGGCGGCGAAATGTGGTGGTGCAGGCTTCGACTGCAGCTTCAATTGGATTGTGGTGGGTGTCGTTATGATGGGGTTGGTAAACGATTGGAAGGGAGTTCAAATATGGTGGTGCGAAAAGCAAGAAAGGTCGGCTTGGCTACGTCGGCGAAATTGGAGTGCGGTGGTGGTGCGTGCATGGAGTGTGACCAAAACTGCTTTTTGTGGTGGCAGGATATCTGAAATTGGAATTGGTTTGGGGAAAATTTTAGGGTTTGCAAACTTGGGGGAAATGAAATTAGGGAGGCAGATTTCAATTTGGTATGCTTGACTTTTGCTAAAACTCGCTAATTGAATTTTTTTTTTTTGGGATGGAATGACATGGCAAGTGACTGGCGTGACAGATGAGGTGGCACTTGCCACGTCAGTCAGGATAGAAAGTCGGTAGAGGGACATCTGTAAATCTAGTATTACTCTTTAGTGGTTGGTTGCCAAGCGGCTCGTTTGGATAGTGACAACTAACAAGTGGCATTGAGAGTCTTTTAGGGCAAAACCACCATATGTTCCCTAGTAATGCAGACGATGATGTGGTAAACTATTTGTGGTGCGTCCGTCTACTGACAACTTTACACGTGTTCATTATAATATGGAGAGAAGGGAGCCTTGTGCTCTACGTAAGATATTAGTGAGAGCCCATTAAAACTCTTAAGCAGTGATTAGAAACCTAGCCTTACCCGATCAGTTGAACTGGTTCAATCGTGACCTGTTGCCTTTATTAAATTGGGTTATAAAATTTTCAATTCATTCAAAACCCTATATATTAAGACATCAATCCATGCACAATTGAAGACTGAAATCTTAGTGCTTTTGAAGATGAATGGTGGCAGCAGTGTCGATTTCTAATGAGCGAATCGATCGAAAATCACAAAACAAAGCTCACTGTTACCCGTCAATTGGGGAGGTGACCAGCCGGCAGCCAGGGGGGGTGGGGTGAGATGGGCTTTGGTCAGTAGGCTGAGAGGAGTGTTTCATGGTGATAGGAAGTGTTGTCATCGCTAGAAACAAGCCTTATCTACCAATGCGGATGGTGGTATTTATAGTGTTTTTGCAAGATTTCAAACATATAAGGACTTACATGTAATTTTTAGGGGTGATTTTGTTAGATTTCAAATCTTAGACACCGGTTTGACCCATTGATCAAACTGCTCGACCCGTGACGCGATGGCCTGGTCGGGTCACTGCATGGGTCGAGTTTCTAATCATTGCTCTTAAGTGATTGTTGAAGCAACCCTTGTAGTGTTGATGATGGTTGATAGCAAGGGGCGATTAGTGCACTCATTACCGATCTAGCTCCTTCTACCACAACATAACTTATGATGCCTAATACAAGACGAATGTATGAATTAATACTGAAAAGGTAATTTAATAAATAAAACTGAATGACATATTTTATTTAAAATTTAGAATTGAGTTGGTTCGTGGGTAATGGGTTGTCATTTTAATTTGTTTTAAATAAAAATGTGTACATAACAAAACTAAAACACACTTATAATATTATTTTGTAACTAGAAAACTAAAAATATTAATACATCAAAATAATTAAATCTATTAATTTAATAAAAAATAAAATAAATGAAAAGCCACTGCCACCATTGTTGAACCACCTCTATCTATCATCACCGGCGAAATTGATTACAAGAAAACATTGCTCCTCTTCTGATTTACGTAATTGTATATATATATATAAATAAAATTAATGTGATATCATTTTTTTTTTTTTTTAATTTGTATGAAGTATTTGTTGTTAAATAGAGGTATGATATAATAACTAAAATCCAATTGAGGTTTCTAAAATAACAAAAATCCTCTGTTATCTAATAACGAACCGTTAAAGTTAATATTATTAAGACTTAATAAATATTATTATTCATTTTAACTCTTAAAACTTATTATTGGTAAGATTTCTATTATTTCTTAAATTTCAAGGGGATTTATCTTATTTTACCATATATATATATATAAGGGATTAATGTGATTAACTCTTAAATAATAATTTTATTAAAATAATTATCTGATATTTTTGTTTACTCCTACCTCTTTATAATTATTAGAGGGGTGAAATATTTTGATGATTATCTGATTTTCTTTTTATTCCTATTAAACAAATAGTTTGAATCTGTGAAACCACGAAAGTAGCCCAACGACAACAATCAATATGACGTGGCAATTAAGGGTGGGCCCAATAAAAAATTAGATTCTAATTTTAATTATTAATTATATTTTCTTAGGTTTACTTTAACGCCATCTCTCAACTCTATCCATTTCATCTCCTGTCATTGTTGCTGTCTTCCACTTCAACTCACAGGTAACCCATCTCTTCATTATCATCATAATCTTCTTCTCCCTTTGTAGATCTTACAAATTTATTCCTTAAATTTATATTTGTTTAAACAAATTTAATATAATTTTTAGGGTTAAAAGTATGCAAGGAGCCATTAAATCGTTTGTCTCCCATGGGAGTTTGATCAAGACTGCTGTTTTGCAACGCGTCAGTGTGGTGAATCCGGTGCTGAGGCCATTGATTTTTTCAAGAAATGAGTCGGTTTCATCGGCTCGTATGGAAGAGCATGGATTTGAGAGTACCACTATTTCAGATATCTTGAAAGATAAAGGTAAAAGTGCTGATGGGTCTTGGCTTTGGTGCACTACTGATGATACTGTTTATGATGCCGTCAAGTCGGTAAGATTAATAAAATTTACTTGTAAATTTTATATTTGACTCTGATTTTTACACTAAATTTTTAGTATTTTATTATTGATTGATTTAAATGTGTTTGTAGATGACCCAACACAATGTTGGAGCCTTGGTGGTGGTGAAACCTGGAGAGCAAAAATCAGTTGCTGGGATTATTACTGAGAGAGGTTTTATAATTTTTTTAAATTTATTTCTAAGTTTATATACTACATAAAAATAAAAAGAACCCAAAAACGAACATGATTTCTTATGTTGATCGGGTTGATTCGGGTTGTTGGTTAAAGTTTTGAGTATTTGGATCCTCAACCGCTTTTAGCTTTTTATCGTATTATTTTGCTTTGAATGATTTTTAGTTCTGCAAAATTGAAGTTGTGACCACTGTTAATAGAAAAAAAGATAAAGAAGCTAGATAGATCTTAACCAAAGTGGTCATCAATATATGTGTCTTAGCATCTTTAAAAGTGAAGTACGTACTTTTCTTTTTTCCATTATATCTTTGTGGAAATTGAGTTATTCGTAATTTCGTATATGATTCAAATATTTTTCTTTTCTTTTTCCTTTTATTTTAAATATCACATTGGTTTGTACTCCCTCGCTACTGGATCAAAACAAGTTCTTTTTTTTTTTTTTTTAATTAGTGTGTTTATATACCAATTTCAAGATTACAGGGGCCTTTGTGGGGCTTGGATTTTAATAACCATGATCCTTATGGACCATTGACTTTTGACTGTAAGAGATTGATAATCATCTGGTTAAGTATGATGGGCTCATCATTCTACGGCTTTGCTACTTTTTGACTGCAACGAGTCTTGATTTTCTTTTTTCCATGTTTTTGACCTTTGTTTCAAAGGTTTAGAGAATGATGGTATGCACCAGATGTAAAATGCGGAAATTTGCTAGATTATTTATTGAGAACTTGGAAGTATTTTTTCTGTTTTTCTTGTGTTTGCTAGTTCGCATACAATTTTCTCTTAATATAATCTACATACTATTGGCTTGCCTGTGGATGGTCCTTGGTAAATGCATTCAGTTTGCTTATTTTACCTGTTCTGACAATTAAATTTCAGATTATCTCCGGAAGATCATAGTGCAGGGAAGATCATCCAAGTCAACTAAGGTTGGGGACATCATGACAGAAGAGGTATTAAGTAATTTTTATGTAGGAATATATGTTTGGTTTGACTTGTCAGTTTCAGGCCGTTTACTGATGAACTTGTGAATTTCTGCATATTCCTTTTCATGCATACATATGTACATATATTGGGTGTTAATAATCACATCATGTGGTGGTTACAGAACAAGCTTATCACAGTCACACCCGACACCAAAGTTCTGCGAGCAATGCAATTGATGACAGGTTTAAGTAGTGCTGCCTTTCCATTAAATATTTGCATTTGTTCAGTATTTTTCTATTCATATGTCAAAGATGTAAGCTAGAACCAATGATTTGGCAGATAACCGCATTCGGCACATTCCGGTGATCAACGATAGGGGAATGATAGGGATGGTGTCAATTGGAGATGTTGTTCGTGCTGTGGTGAGTGAGCATCGTGAGGAGTTAAACCGCTTGAATGCTTTTATACAGGGAGGTTACTAGATAATGACGAAAATGGTGGAATGTTGAGATGAGCTCTTTGAACACTAATAAAGCAGGAGCTTGTAAATAGGGTGTGTTGTGTGCACCTTTGTCTTTTGTTTTTGCAGATGTCAATATCCCTTGACATGAAATAATACCATGTGGACCAACAGGTTAATAACCAGGACTCCAATTTTGATTTGGATATCTGTGTTTATTCTCTCTGCAAAGGATGGTTAATTATTTCTACTAGTTTGTTGATTTTAATCTATGTTAGTGTGGTGGTATAACTTATTTCAGAAGACTTAGGTTTTATTAAAGTAACACAAATAGTATATATTTGGTTGGCTCATGCAAATGGAGAAAAGCTTTTAGAGCAATGCTAGACTAACAACATCTTCTCACAATTTTTCCTCATAATTTGTCACATGTTAGTTTCTCATTTGTCAATTATAATGATTTCACTTGATAAAATTGCAGTTGACAAATAGTAAATTGATATGTGGCAAATTGTGAGGAAAAGTTGTGAGAAGATGTTGTTGGTAGGGGTGTTCAAAAGCGGTTAGTCGAACCGGTTAACCGCTTTTCTAAACCGAACCGGATTTTCGGTTCAAGAAAATTCTCGAACCGAAACCGAACCGGTTTTAGGAAAACCGGTCGGTTAATTATTTTAAAAAAAGCAGTTAACCGATTTTGAACCGGTTTTTCCTTTTTTTTTTTTAATTTTGTCCTAAATTAAATTGTAAATATAGACAATACATTGGGAACTAAGAAAAAAAATTTGGGTTGGGATTTTAGACTGAGTGAATTAAAGATTTATTTTAGTTTAGGTTATTATATATATATATATATATATATATATATAATTTCTCCCGAACCAGTAACCGAACCGAATATTCGGTTTTTTGAATTTTTTGAATCGTAATCGAACCGTTTTTTGGGTTAACCGGTTTTTCGGTTCGGTTTAGTTCGGTTTTTGCATTTTTTTGAACACCCTTAATTGTTGGTCAAACATTTGGAAGCTTTTATGGGGCCTAGTATAGATGCTGTTTTATTGATAGGAAATGATGGAAAATATAAGGCAGAAGATGAGAAAATTGTAATAATTTATATTGATGTATATCTTTATATAGTTGATATAGGAATAATTTAAAGAAAGAACAAAAAGACCTTCACATTTTCCAACTTCAAAAAAATGGAATATTTATTAGTTTCATGAAGGACCCAAGCCGAGTGGAGTTTTTGAGTTCGACTCATTTTGTGGTGGTTAATGGGGATAGTCATTAGGGTCTGCTTGGGAGTTTTATGGTAGCGGTTATGAAGGTAAACCATCGTAGCGGTTTTGAGGGTAAACCACTGTATTGGTTTTGAGGGATTTTTAGTAGCGGTTTTTAAAACACTCAACCTGTGCTTGAGAGTTTATTTTCTAACGGTTCTAACAGTTTTTTTAAATGATAAATTTACATAAATGCCCATAAAGTTAAAACACTCTCTCTTTTGCTTAATTAACTTTGATAAATATAGATATTTGTGTTGGCTAACCACCGTAGGTATTTGCGTTGGCTGATTCACTTGCAATGTGTTCTTCCATGACAGCGGTATTTCTCTTAATTCTAGCAATGGTTGGTGATCCTGCCTTCTTGCACTCAGCAATTTTTTATAGCAAGAACTTGCTGAATATCGCCCTTTTCGGAACGTTGGTCGCCTTTGTAACTTGATTGTACACTGTAATATCACCAAAAAGTGAATGGTTAGCCATCATTGTCGTCGTGATAGGCTCCAGTGTTCCATTTCTCATCAAATTTTTGCACCGGAAGTCTTCCACTTCAAACCCTTTTGTTATAAAATATCTCAAGGGAACGATGAAGAAACTTGTAATCACCTACAGCCCTGGAAGAAGGCGTTCAAATCTTAGTTATGGAGACAGTCAAGCCAAATCACCTCATTGGTACCAATCTATTTAATATAATAATTCTGTTTTCTTGTTTTACTGTCATGCACCGTTCTCTAATCTTCTTGTTTTACTGTCATGCACCGTTCTCTAATCTTTCTTTTAGGATCTTGTTTTAATAAGTTTTATTAGTTATATATTTGTAAAATATAATTTAGATTATAACATGATTGCTAATTTATTTTCTTGTGAATTAGCGATTGCAAAGGGATTTGTGTGTAGCAAAGGGATTCGTCTGCAGCAACGAGAGATTTGTGTGCTAGAGAGAAGTCAACAACAGCAAGAGATTTGTGTGCAGCAAAGGGAGTGGAAAGGGGTTTATTTGAGATTAAATTTATAAACCAGCCAAAACACCTCGATTTGGGGTGTTTTATAAACCCCTCAAAAATACACTGCACTGATTTTGGAGGATTTTTAAACCAGTCAAAATCAGTCTATTAAAAATCTAGCAAGTGGGGGTTTTTAAACACCTCAAAACCAGTCCAATTAAAAACTCTTCAAAACTAATAAAAAAAAAACTTCCAAGTAGACCCTTAGAGTTTTTATCCGATTAATAGTTTTAGAGTTTTAATAAATTAGTTGAAGTATGTATAAGTTAATCTGAACACCCTTAATGATTAAAAAAAAGAAAATTGGTGCACATGTTACTCTTAATATAGTTTTTTTGGGCAAGTAATAGGAATAGCAATTTCAGCCTTGTAAAAAGACAAAAGAATTTCATTTACGTTTCTTAAAATGAATTTAAATTTAAAAATATAAATTTACGATGTCTGATTATATATTATATAGAATTTGAAATGCGTTACCTATTATAATACAAAATCAATGGTCAGTAATTAATTGATTTAGTTGATGGAATTGGAAAATTAAATTGATTTTGCATTGTTGTACGTTAAATGAAAATTAAAATAAAATAACCGTTTTGTTGCTTTTATTTTAAGAAAATATTGAGTGAAATATTTTTTTTTTTTTTTGGGGTGATATTTACTACTTCACACTTTCAAAAACTCACACATGCGGGCTGGAACTAAACCTAGTAGCAGGCATGAATAATACTTTGCGTACCAACGAATTTTATTAATTAATGTACTAATCTTTGTTAAAATTATTTATAGTATCTGTACTATACGTATAATGTTTATATTATACTTTAAGTTAATATACTGGTTAGTAAAATCGGATAGTACCCATGACATTACCCAGCAGGCAGAAGCCAGGGCCAGGGACATAGCTAGAAAATTTTCCTTTTTTGTTTCTTTCTAGGAATGGGTGCATCACAATGATATAAAAAGTATTATTTAAAAAAGCAATTCAGAATCTAGTGAGAAAAGGGTTGAGATTGTAAATTGACAAAAAAATAGGGGTAATTTTGTAGTTAATGGAGAAGAGTAATAGTAATGGGTCCACACCACAGAAACGCCACAACAAATTATCGTGAGTAGATTGTCCAAATGGAGAAAGAAGATGACGTGGATTCAATTATTTTGCAATTTGAAAAGCTGAAAAAACTGAAACCATTCATTCATTCTGATTAAAAAACAAAACCCAATTCCAATTCCAATCCCAAAATTTCCTTAGTCAAACAAACAAACAAGTCACTGCTTTTTATAGCAACTTCACTTTGTATTTTGAACTTCATTTCTTCCAACAATGGCTTCCACTTTAACCATCACTCCTCCCAAACAATTCTTCTGGCTTTCATCTGTGTTTTCTGGCATCATTATCTGCAAAATTGTTAGACTAACGACATTCTTTTTATTTTTTCAAATATTAGTTGCTTCTAAATTTTTAGATTTTTTGCAGGGATAATAATTATTCTTCTTTTCAAGAGAATTAAATTTTTGATTAACAAGCTTCAGTATATGAAATTTTCTGTTTGCATTGTTTGCTGGAGTATTTCACGTTTTGTAGTGACTATTCAATTTTGTTGTTGAAGGTTTATAAATTAACTGGAATGGTTAGCCATATGTGCTTCAAGGGATATGGGAATCTCAGCATTCCAAAAAAAGTTGAGTGGAATAACAGGTGAAATTCTGTTTGTTTTTCATTCTTGTGTATGTTTAAAATGTTTATCTGCAATTATAAATGAATGAATAAATAAATAAATATTGGTGTCTTTTTGTTTGTACAGGGGCTTTTCAACATTTCATGCTGTCATGGTAGCATTTGCTTCTCTTTACTTGTTACTGTTGTCTGATCTTTTCAGTGAAGATTATAATGATGAGTTAATCATCAATCGGACGTCTACGGTTTCGGAAACATTACTTGGGGTGAGTCAATGCAGGAGGATTTTCATGAGGTTTTCATTGCTGTAATTATTAGCTCTTTCACTAATTGTTTGACTTCTTGCACTGTCCTGGGAGTATATCTTTTCTTTTAACAATATACCTTTAAGTAAGTCTAAACCATGCTTATTGTTGATAGATAATGAATTAATTTGTTTAACGAACTTTGGTAATAACGGCATCTCTTGTGCTACACATTTCATGTGCATAACAGGTTTCTTTGTTATTAGCTTTTGAGTTTTTTATCAAATAAAATATATACTTCGGCTTTCTTGTTATGAAAGTTTGGTTTGTAAACACAAAAGTAGTGTACTTGCTTTTTTGATAAGATTAGGTTCAGAATTCTTGGAAGATATTTCTAAGATTAATTCTGTTAGGTAGTCATCAGAGTAAGGTCATTTTTAATGTGAGATTTCTTAAGTTTCTTGTAGAACTGAAATCACTGCTGTGGCCATCAGAGGGATGCAGCAGGTGCAATTAGTGTGCTGATTTTACTTGAACTGTATAATTTTATCTGTTTAGCAGCTTGAAAATAGTTTAACAACAAGGATATGTGATATATTCCATTCTGATGTTGAATTTTAGTGAAAATTGTTTCCTAATTCGTTAAGGCATGGAGAAAAATTTCTGGAAATTTAATGCATGAAAATTTTAGTTAACATTGAAGCTTTGAAATTGAATTCTTGAAATTTCATTTGTGAATGCATCAGAAGAATTACTAAATCGGCCAGCTGAATTATGGTTTCAAGGAACTTGTAACTTTTTCACTGCAAATTTGTGGGAGAATTCAATTACATGGTAGATCTAAGAACCAAGATTGACAATATGGGTAGATGTGCGGACGGATGTGTGCAATTTACCTTAAATAAGTTACCTATTAAACCTGACATTTCAACTTTTGTTACATTAACCCTGGTTTCACATGCTGCAAAATTGTAGGTAAATTTTGTGAGCTGTTATGCTTGGAAAGGATCTATTAAGTATATTTCAGAAAATTTGTTGGTTCTTACATTCTTTAACAATAGACGGACTGTTATTATCTTTTATTTTTGGTGAGGGATGAGTTGGGTTGTCTTCTATGCTAAAATGCAACTTGTACTTGTCGTGTGCTTTTACCAGCTGGAAAATGTATATCATTACTTTCTCTTTCCACAACTGTAGTGGTACTGATTTTGGTGTTATCTTATGAAACCGATAAAACCTTTGAGACACATAAAGATTTAATTAAAATCTATAGCTTATGTAGCAACATAGTGTACATAGGCATGGGGAAATTTCCTTTATCTTCTTTAATGTGCTTGCATATTTTTTCCACCTGAAGCATTTTTGCGTGAAGCTAATGGCATAGTCTGTTTATTTTTTCTGTCTAGAAGTCATCATCTATATTAGACTGGGTTAAATGACATTAAAGGTTAGATGATAAAATTTATGTTTGGTAATTGATAGTGGATTATGTCAATGCTGCCTAAGCATAGAACTGGTTTCGAAGGATGTTTTTACCTCCTTGTTGGAATTAACTCTGTTATGTGCCCAGCCTACTCTGTTGTGATGCCATAATCTATATATTGGTGGTTCCTTTTGATGTAGGACAAGGATTAGAATGAAGGTCCGAAAATTAGAAGAGATAAAAGACAGGAATAGTTATTAGACAGACAGATTAGAAGAATAGAAATAGAAATAGAAAAGATAAAAGAGCAGACGGTAGAAACTAGACTAGAGAAAAGAATTAGAACAAATAGAATATAAGAAATAAGAAACAGAAATAAGAGAAGATATGCCAAGAGAAAAATATAGAGACGTATGGATGAGGGGAGAAAAAGAAGAGAGATTATCAAGACCAAGGATTAATTATTAATGTTATTATTTTCATTCATATTCTCTGTTATAGTACATACATGAAGGTTTATTTATGTTGGCCAAAAGAAACTGATACAACCACCTGCAGATTCAATCAAATACACCCAACCAACAGTAATTCTCACACAAATCAACCAACACACAATCAATCACAACTCGAGACACAATTGCAAGTCCTGCACTACTTGTATTAATCAGAAGAAATGAATGCAAAAAAAGAACAGATGAGATGATTGGAATTATCCCAACACCCTGGCGATTCGAGGAGCCAGGAACCTCCCCTGTTTTATCAACCCAAATTCAAAAGATACCAGACCTACTACAACTCTGCTGAATATATACTAATTCCCTTTTTCCACAATTACCCTTACTCACACAATATGTATTCTCCAAAACAGAATCCACCCCAATGACACCTGTACTTTGTGGTCCCTCTCCCTTAACAACCTTTCTAATGCTTTTTACGCCCCTTAAGGTGTAGACTTTATGCACTGCTGGCTTATCAATACCCCCCCTTGAAGATTCCCTTGTCCTCAAGGTGAAATTGTGGAACTGTAATTGAATCATGGCAAATGGTTCCCAGGTGGCTTCAAAATCAGGTAAATGCTGCCATTTGATGAAACTTCTTTAGACCCTCTGACAAGGTTCGCATCGCCAAAACATGTATCTGGTTGGACCATTAATTCCATATCTTCAAGAGTGAGTCAGGAAGGGGTTGATGGGTACCGACTGTGTAAGCTCCTCTTGAGCTGAGAAATATGGAAGACAGGATGAAGCGGGCTGTGGACGGCAGATCCAATTTATAAGCCACTGGTCCTATGCGTTCCAACAGGGTAAGGACCATAGAACGGGGGCTGAGTTTCTCGTTCAGTTTCGGGCAAGAGACTTAAACCTGTAGGGCTGAAGCTCAGGAAAACGGAGTCACCGGCTGGAAACAATCATCTCCCGTGAAGATCAGCATTCTGTTTCATGCGAGTTGGCCGCAAGTAATTGTCCTTAACTCCCCTAAAATGGCATTACGTTCAGTCATTGGACATTGATCTCTTCCACGGCAGATGGACAGTCTGTGAATTTTAAAAGGGTGGGGGATCTCGTCCATAGAGGGCCTTGAAAGGCGGCATGCGGATGGATCCGTGGTAGGTTGTATTGTACCGTATTCTGCCCAGGTAAGCCATTAGGCCATGCCGAGGCTGACACTGCAGAAACAGCGTAGATACGCTTCGACACCTATTACCCACCTCCGTTTGCCCTCAGCTGCGGATGGTACGCCGAACTAAATTTCAGAACAGTACCTCAGCCTTGACACTCTTCGCCAAAACTGACTCATAAAGAGTTTGTCTCTGTCGAAACAATGGAATTGGGAAAACCGTGCAGACGCACCACTTCCTTAACAAATAGGGTGCGACCTCCTTTCATTGTATGGGTGGCCGAGACAAAAATGGTTGTACTTGGTTAGGCGGTCAACGACAACAAATGGTATCAACACCCTTCGAACGTGGCAGCCCCCGATAAAGTCCATAGAAATATCCTCAAAGACCTGTTCCAATGGGGAAGCTGAGGAGTCCGGCAGGTTTTATGATGACTGCTTATTCAGTTGACAGGGTACAGGTTTTAATGAAGTTTTGTATATCTCCCCGAATACCTCCCAGTAAACTACTGAAGATACTCTTTTGTAGGTTCTGAAGAAACCCGAGTGGCCGCCACTAGGACTCTGATGGATCATTCAGTAACTTGGACACAAATCTGGACTCTTTGGAATAACCAACCTGTTCTTATAGAATAGGCAGCCCGGCGGATATGATAGTTGGGTCCTAGAAGAAAAAAGGAGAAGATCCTGAATGATTACCCTGAGTTTCGGATCTGTTTGTGCTTCCGTGGCCAACTCCTCAAATTCAGAAAACTGTACCGTAGATAATGCTGAAAGGTGGACCCTTCGGTTCCATCTTCTCTTCGGAAAGAGCATCGGCTACTCTGTTGGAGGCCCCTGGGTAATACTGAATGTCAAGGTAAACCCATTAGCTTGGAGATCCATTTGTGTTGTTCCGGGGTTTTTGATCGTTGATCCGTTAAAAACTGGAGGCTGCGCTGATCAGTTTTGATGAGAATTTTCTGCCCAACAGATAATGGCTCCATTTCCTAACTGCAAAAACAATGGCCATTACTCACGCTCGTAACCGATTTCACTTAGCTGTAGGGGAGATGCCTTGCTGAGAAATGCTATGCGCGAGACTGCGTTACCAAAACAGCCCCGAGGCCTCTCCCGATGCTTCTGTCGGAATTTCAAAGGGCCGTGTGAAATCTGGAACTGCTAAAACAGGGACGGTCGTCATGGCTTCCTTGAGTCTATCAAAAGCCAATTGAGCCGAATCATTCCAAATGAAAGAGTCCTTCTTTAATAACTGAGTAAGGGGCGGGGCAATTGAACCATAACCCTTTACGAATCTCCGGTAATAACCGGTCAGCCCAAGAAACCTCTCATCCCTTCGCATTTACCGGTCGCGGCCAAGAGACCATGGCTTCAATCTTTTCGATCTGCCTCAACTCCATAACCCGAGACTAGGTGACCCAAATATTCCAGCTTAGATTGGCCAAAGGAGCACTTTTTCTTGTTAACCACCAAGATGTGTTCCTGCAAAATCTGAAAAGTGAGTTGTAAGTGCTGAATGTGTGTGGTTAGGCAGGGGCTATACACAAGATATCATCAAAGAAGACCAGGATAAATTTACGGAGAACTGCTTAAAGACTGAGTTCATTAAGGCTTGGAATGTGGAGGGTGCATTAGTGAGTCCAAAAGGCATCACCAGGAACTCGTAATGCCCCTCATGTGTGCGAAAGGCTGTTTTGGGAACATCAACCTCGCGCACTCGATTTGATGTACCCTGACTTCAGGTCCAGTTTAGTGAAAATTGTTGCCCCGCTAATTCATCAAGTAATTCTTCAATGGTTGGTATTGGGAATTTGTCGGGTATGGTAATATCGTCAATGCCCTGTAGTCCACACAAAATCGCCAACTTCCATCCTTCTTTTTGACCAATAGACAGGGCTGGCGTATGGGCTACGCTAGGCTGATAATCCCTGCGATAACTTCCCAACCAGCTTCTCGATTTCATTCTTCTGAAAATACGGGTATTTGTAGGGTCGGATATTGGGTGGTTTAGAACCTGGTTGAAGTTCTATGGCATGATCATGGGTCCTATGGGTGGTATTTAGGATTCTGGTCAAACAGTTCTGGGTACCTGGCTATTACTCAGTTATTCCCGTTTAGTTTTCCTCCTGTATTGGCTCTTCCTTCAACCCTATGGATCCAAATTCCACCACATACCCGTTCCCTGCAGCCTGTAAAGTCCTAACCATAGTCTTAAGTGAAACCTCTGTCTTTACCAGTAGGGGATCCCCTCTAGTTTCACCCTCTTCCCTTCCCAGTCAAATTCCATAGTTATCTCTGCCAATGGCGCTCACATCCCCCAAACTACTCAGCCATGTAACCCCTAAAACCACGTCTGCACCTCCTAACTCAAACGGAAAAACTCCTGCTGTATCTCAATTCCTTGAATTTCAGCCTCACTGCCTTACAAATCCCCTTACCCCGAATGGTACATCCATCCCCAACCATTACTCCGAAAGGCTTTCCTTCATCCACCTTCAGCCCTAACTTTTGAACAACCCCGTGGCACAAAATTGTGGGAAGCCCCACCCACCACCCACCACCCTTTCATTCCCAATCTCCCCTTGTAATTTCAATGTTTTTCCCGAAGAATCCCCAATTGGTTCATCGACAGGGCTAGGGATTTACCTTCACCGTTGGCTTCTTCGTCAGTTTTCTGTCCCTTTTCCGGCGTGTTGTGTTTCGTCGTCATCCAAGAGCAACAGCACTTGCAGCGTCTTGTTTTTACATCGGTGGTTGGTCCATACTTCTCGTCACAGGCGGTAACAAAGCCCACGTTCTCGTTTGTACTGCAATCCGCACCAGAAAGCCGCCGAAATTGTCAATCGGTTGACGGACCCCACAGACTCCGTCGTCTTCTCTTTTCGGTCGGTGATCTTGTTGAAGGTTGGCGTTAACGAAGAAGAATCTGGTGGTCTTGCACTGAAAGTCGACCAGTTAGTGCGTGTAATTCCGGGTTTGGGCTGACCCGGGAATAGGGCTCCCCACGGCCCATTTGGTTTCTAATGGCTTGGGCCTTTGTTTATCCAATATCCAATTCCTCTCCTCAATCCGTGGGCTTGATCCATCAGCCCAAATAACGTACTTGGCTGAGCAAAACGAAGCTCACTTTTATATCTTCCTTTAGCCATTCGCGAAAATTCCCTTGAGCAGTTCATCCCCCAGGTCTTCAATGGTGCTGCACTGGATTCGAACTGTTCCCTATATTCAGTAACTGTCCCTCTTGTTTCAAGGCCACTAAAGCTTCATATGCTGTCCTTTAAATGATGGTCGAAAGCGGTCGATCAAGGCTGTCTTGAAAGTTTCCCACTGAAAGGTGCTCTGGATTCGACCCATTGTACCAGCTTAAGCTCTTCCCTCCATGCAAAGCTGCTGCTGCCCACCATTTCTGTCTCTGGAATTGATTAATGTGAAGTAGCGATCTGCTCTGAAGGACCATCCAAACGGATCCTCACCATTAAAGATGTAACTCCAGTTTCCGGTTGTTTCTTTTTTCGTCTTTCCCACTGTCTTCACGTTCTGATTCCTTATCCCTACTAACATTCTGGTTCTCTGCCGATGAAGAAGTCTTCTCTCTTTCTTGTTCCTTCTCCTCCCTCTCTTCTCTCATGCGCATTAACTCCCTCATTTCTGTCAAATATTCTTTCACACTACCCATGTCAACTTTCAAGGATCCTATATCTTCTTTTACTGTATTCATCTCCTTCTCCACATTATCCATCCTAGTTTCCATTTTGATTTTACCATTCCCCAACTTGGCTCTGATACCAATTTGATACAACCACCTGCAGATTCAATCAAATACACCCAACCAACAGTAATTCTCACCAATCAACCAACACACAATCAATCACACTCGAGACACAATTGCAAGTCCTGCCTACTTGTATTAATCAGAAGAAATGAATGCAAAAAAAGAACAATGAGATGATTGGAATTATCCCAACACCCTGCGATTCGAGGAGCCAGGAACCTCCCCTGTTTTATCAACCCAAATTCAAAAGATACCAGACCTACTACAACTCTGCTGAATATATACTAATTCCCTTTTTCCACAATTACCCTTACTCACACAATATGTATTCTCCAAAACAGAATCCACCCCAATGACACCTGTACTTTGTGGTCCCTCTCCCTTAACAACCTTTCTAATGCTTTTTACGCCCCTTAAGGTGTAGACTTTATGCACTGCTGGCTTATCAAAACCTAATTTGTATGAATCGTATTAATACAGATAATAAACCTTGAAAACAAAATCTTATCAGAGGATAAAGCTAAAATTAAGAGTTAACTTAGTAATATTTAAATTTAATTAAATATTTCCTAATGTGTAAGATAATATTTCTGGTTCTGCATCAACCCCTCATTGATGATTGACTGTAAGGTCTAGGTTAAACCCCAAACATGCACAATGACCCGCATTTATAAATATCTGGTAGTCCTGTTGCTTTTACATCCTTTATGGTTCAAACCCGATTAGTTTGAACTTAGCTATTTGAAGCTCTCCTTATTATCACTAGGCCAACGAAAAGGTTTAAAATTGAGGTGTGGTGATAAACTCACAAAAGTAATATTCTTTTGCATTTACTTTCTGGAGTTTTTTTTAATCATGGGATCCTTGGTTAGCTTCCGCGCAGAAAATGTTAGATAAAAACAGTTTGCGGTGTAAATCTTTCTAATTATTAATCATTTTTTTTTTCTTTGTACAGATTCATGGTTATTTTCTGTCAGATCTGGCAATGATTCTTTGGCATTTCCCAGCTTTAGGTGGCTGGAATAGAATTACAAACAAAGTTGCATGCTTTATGTTTGTTAATGTTTAAGTATTACATCAACCATAATGTGAGACTATCTATTGTTACTTTTATTATACTCTTTTTGGAACTATGTTCTCATTTCTGGGATGTGCTTTTTGGTTTTTGTTTACATTTACCTGTGCTCGCATTTCTTTTCTTTTCTTTTTTCTTTTTAAACCCACAACCCCCTATTTGGTGTGAGCGGTTTTTGTTCATGCCCCATCTCTGGAAGGTTTGGAGTAAACTTGAGTATTTGACAATGATAGGAACCCACTCTATAACTCAATATTTAGGTTGGGCCATGGGTCTTTCATGGCTTGGGTAGAACTCTCCTTGGAAAACCGGCTTGCCAAGGGAGGGTGCCCAAGCCTTTATAACCCACATGCCCACCCTTTTCCCTTCTCATGTGGGCTCCCAATTCCACTACGCTTCCGCAACCGACGTCCACGTCGGCCTCTTTACCCCCGTCGGTCTCTTTACCCCTTGGGTGACTACGCGGACCCCTTTCCCTCGGGCCTCCATGCCCTTTCTGTAGCAGCCCGGGCCCAAGGTCAGCCTGCCACGGGTCAGCCTGCCATGCTGCGTTGCCACATAGGCCAGGATCATGCTCTGATACCATTGATGAACCCACTCCAATAACTCAACATTTGGGCTGGGCCATGGGTCTTTCATGGGTTGGGTAGAACTCTCCTTGGAAAACGGCTTGCCAAGGGAGGTGCCCAAGCCTTTATACACCCACATGTCTACCCTTTTCCCTTTCAATGTGGGATCCCAACATTCCACTACGCTTCCGCAACCGACGTCCACGTCGGCCTCTTTACCCCCGTCGGCCTCTTTACCCCTTAGGTGACTACGCGGATCCCCTTTTCCCTCGGGCCTCCATGCCCTTTCTTAGGGTAGCAGCCCGGGCCCAAGGTCAGCCTGCCACGGGTCAGCCTGCCACGCGTGTGCTGCCACATAGGCACAGGATCATGCTCTGATACCAATTGATAGGAACCCAATCTAATAACTCAATAATTTGGGTTGGGCCATGGGTCTTTCATGGGCTTGGGTAGAACTCTCCTTGGAAAACCGGCTTGCCAAGGGAGGGTGCCCAAGCCTTTATAACCCACATGCCCACCCTTTTCCCTTTCAATGTGGGATCCCAACAGACAATAATTTAATTAATGCATCAGCAGAATTTTCTAGTTTGAAACACTTTGTTAGTTTCCCATTCTTACCTTTCACGTTGAACTGAATCTGTTGGAAGTGTCATTCAGAAGCTCATTTGTACTTACTAACTATTTTCCCTTGTTTTTCCTAATAGGTCCTACATCATGGGCTATCCATGTTTTCAATCTTTCTTGCCCTTGTAAGTGGTCAAGGGCAGATATACATACTCATGGTTCTCTTCTCAGAGATTACAACACCATTTGTAAATCTAAGATGGTAATGTTAACATTTAAAAGTTACTTTCATGTTTCATTTTTGGTTGCCAACATTGGGTTTAACTATAATTTTGCATTCAGGTATTTAGATGTTGCTGCTCAAAAAAGCTCCAATATATACATATGGAATGGTGTTGCATTGTTCCTAGGGTGGTTGGTACAGTCTAGCATACCTCAAAATCTTGATTTATTTCTGTTGGCTATAATATAGTGTATCCTGGGGTGACAGTATTGTGTGGTGCATATTGGTCTGTTGGCCTTATAGTCGACATAATCATTAGACTCATCCGTTTTGAAGCATGTTCTGGTCTTTTCACATTTTGGCGAAGTTGTTTGACTTGGCAAGTTAGTTTGAAAAAATTGCCAAATAACCTTATAAAAATGTTATGTGCACATTGGAATTGTGGATACTTTTGCTTTTCTCCTTTTATCTTAATCTTTCTTCTGTTGAACTGGTAGGGGTTGATATATTCCCAATCGCTACTGCATTTGTGAAACAGATAAATAAACAATGATTCCAGATATTGCCCTGTGGTTAAAGCTTTCTGGCATGTAGTATTTTCCTTGTTTGGTTTGTCTCAGATCCTGCCATGGTCTTTTAACATCTCTTTTGCCATTTATGTTATTCTCTAATAAGTTGAACTTGAAAGAGATGGTTTCTGTAGTTCAAAGTGATTCTATTAAGTGTGCTCTTGGAACAGTGATTACATTTTAAATTTATTGCCCTAAATTTCTATTCTACTACCATCATCCAATGATTTTGTTGTTTAGGAGAAGTTTGTACTGTTCAATGCTTATCTTGTTGAAGTTTGTACTAGTTGATTTCTATTTCCTATTGAATTTGTATTCGCAGAACTGGATTAGGTATTTTATTATAGATCTTTCTAGCCGTTGTACTTCATTCTATCGCATGAACAAATCATGTTATAATGACTCTGACATGGAATTTGTGTGGCCATCAGGTAGCAAGGATTATTTTGTTCATCTATTTTTTCATCCATATGGCCATCCATTTTGATCAGGTGAGTGGATAATCCAATAACTCATGTCACATGGATTTAGTTTTGGAATAAAACTATGTGCACTAACCAATGAGTACTAATCTAAGTACTAACATTGGAAATTTGAAATTCTCTCCAAAAAAAAATTTTAAATTTTCAATGTTAGTACTTAGATTAGTACACATTGGTTAGTGCACATAGCATTACTCTTAGTTTTGTGGAGTAAAGTTAGAATGAAGTAAAAATTGTTTGTTGGTGTAAAATAGGTGAAGGAAATATTCCCCTTGGGGTTCTACAGCTTGCTTACAGTGCCTCCAGTGTTGGGAGTTATGAATGTGATTTGGTTTTGGAAAATTGTAAGAGGTTTGATTAAAACTCTATCAAAAGCAAGACACAGCCAGTGATCCTAACTTTCTCTTCTATGTTGGCCACGTAAGTGCATTTTACTTTTTTTTTTTTTTTTTAAATTTAAAAGATGATGGGGTCATTAATCTGTAAATTGCTATCTTCCCACAAAAATTGTCGATAGAAATTTGAGACATGCTTTCTTTTAGTCAAAATCTTAGCAATTAAGTAGATCAATATTTTTATTTATTTAATAATAAATATGTTAGTTGATTTACTTTTACATAAATATTTACTAATAGTGGGTAATTGGATGACTTTTGTGGTTGCTTTTTATTTATGGAGAATCTCCTTTACACATCACATGATTATATTCTTACATCTACCATCACATTTGTTCTACGAAATTTCTTCATTACAGCTTCACATGTTTTAATAGTGAGTCTTCATATTGATACACCCATATTATTTTCATGTTGCTAGTTTAAATTGTCCAATTGATATGATATTATAAGGGTGATAGCCTTTACATGAAACTGGAAAATTCCTCCGTTTTAGAAAAATCAATTCTTTATAAATAGAAACCCACCAACTCAGTAGTATTTGTTTGAATTTCTTGATACACTTCAACAATTCTATACAGCATTTATTTAAATGTTATAATTACCTTTTAAATTTTGTTACATCGTTTGTTTGTATCATAGATTTTTAATAAACTATTTTTACATAATAATTTTTAAATTTCTCCAACTTTTTTTGAGCTTACTTAAAGAACTGAAATTTTAATAAATCTTTGAACTATTTTATAAGTTTTTCAATCAAAAACTGCATTTTTTTTTCATAAGTTTTACTCAAAGAATGGTACCCAAACGGCGGTGAAACTCTTTTTACATAAAGTTTATCTTTTTTTTTTTCTTAAATGTAATAATATTTTAATTTAACAATTATATTGGAAAGTGATGACAAGGCCTATGGATAAGGATAAAGCTATTTGTACAAGAATAAAGATAAGTTGACAAACATTTCTCATAACTCTCTCATAAATGTTGATATGATAACTTACAATTGGTCAGTTAACATTTGATTAGGCGAAATTTATTATGAATTGATCAATTATAAGTTGACACGTCGCATTTATAAGAAGAGTTTATGAATGTAGTATTGTTGTATGTACAAATTCTCATACATAGTATGTCACGTGCCTTATAGACCATATAACTTAATGCACATGAATACCAATATCATGTGGGTACTCAATAGATAAGTGTAAAACTATTTGTATAAGCTCTAATACAGAGTTTATATAAATTGATGTGGTATATTATGTGGATGCCGTGTGACATGACAGTCTACATGATATTAATGTGAGCTACCGAAGTGGGTTGGTTTGCAGAGAATTTCGGGGGTCAAAGCCCCTGTTAAATGCGCGTGGAGACTGGTTGGTTTGCCGTTTGCCTATTTGCTCTAAATAGAGGCTAAATATCATTGACAACCCCAAGTTTATTGTAGCTTTTGTATCCTATAATTTTAGAATTTTTATTAACCTCTCCTATAAGTATCGTAGGGTTCCTTTTAGATTTTGCTGAGATGAGCTTGGTATAAAGAAAATGGATTTGAATTCGAGTTTACAATATATAATAACTAAGATACATATTTCTCTCAATACAATTATTTTTAAAATTATTTATCATATTTCAAACATGGTATTAAATCTAACTTGATTACTAGTTACATTGATAATTAAATGGTTGGAATCGAAGATTACTGATTCCAAATAAAATGAGTTTGGTCTTGTATCATTGAGTCTACTACAATAAGATTGAACTTGCGATGTCTCTAACATGAATGAGATTCTCTTTCTTTAATTACTATATGATTGGAATTATGTAGACCTATATCAAACTAATCTATTGTTATCACTAAACGTCAATAATACTTTTTTTATAGATATAAAGTTTTTCTAATCAATGAAGTAATTTTTTTTAGTAGTTCCATTTAATAAAACTATTCTTGAAGAAACAAACTGTATCAACCATATCCTTATAAGGAGGTAATAAATACTATTTTTGAAACTATTAAGGGTGATAGAGGAATCGGAGCAAACCCTAGGTGAGGTCCAACATCAATCCTTGAATAAAACACAGTTCGAGTTCGAATTAATTGACAACAGCGTAGCAAGAGTGAGATGGTGCGTGACACATGGAGAATTTTGTACTCCCCATGATAGATGAAAAAGTTTAAATACCCCCAGAGTTTTGTAAAAGTATTTATACCACCCCTCGAAAAGTATTATAAAAACCTCCTCTAAGTTTGCCGAATCTGTGGTGGCGTTTAAACTTGTCGTGGTCCAAGCTTGGTCCGAAGTGTCAGCCAGAGTCTTGTGGCCGTCCAACAGATTATGAATCTCTTGGTGGGTAAGTCGGCTGTTCCCTATTTCTCTGTCTTCTTTTATTGCTTTGAAATTTTAGTACAAAAAGATAGGTAGATCTGATCTCATTCATCTGGAATTATAAGACTAAGACTAAGAAAACAAAACAAAATATGGAGCCCTCCAACTGTAATTTATATAAGCTCTAGGTGGGTTTTCAGTTTGTGGATTAAACTGATATTATCACTGAAGTTCAAGAAGATAGCCTTATCAGGAAAGAAATGTGGAGGAGTTTATTGAAGCAGGGGGTTTCAGTTTTTGGGAGGACAAACCCATTCAAACAATTCCCATTTCAATATATTAGCAGCAGTAATAATGTTAAACCTCCCTTATTATGGTTCTCTCACATTCTTCCGTTTTCGTCCTCTTCGGAAACGGAATCGCAATCTCAATCTCCGCCGTTAAATTCCAAGGAGATGTCGTTCGCGGAGGCCAAGAGATTGATGAGATTGGTGAATGTGGAGGCGTTGAAGATGAAGCTCGGGATGCAAGGGAAGGAGGTGATTGGTTACAAAGAGTTGCTTGAAGCGTGTGAAAGCATGGGAATCGCCAGGTCTCTGGAAGAGGCCATGGCTTTCGCACGTGTTCTTGATGATGCTGGTGTTGTTCTTCTCTTTCGTGACAAGGTGTATCTTCATCCCGATAAGGTAAACTTTTTTTTTTTTTTTAATATTGTTTCGGTTTGCTTTTTAATTAACTTTTTGATTACCGAAAAGGTTAAAAAGATTTTGATTTTATACGAATCTTGTTAAGAAATCAAGAGATATGAGATGAACAACACGAAATTTGTAGATAAAATTTTTATTGTTAGGATATTGAATATATTCCTTTTGCTTTTGATTTGGGGGTCTTTTGAGTGCAAATGAACCGTTTCTGTGTTGATATGACATAAAAGAAAAGGGAAGATTTTACACTAATCTTGTTTGAGAAATTAAGAAATGTTGTTCTTTCTTCAACTTAGAAATGATAAATATATGGACACTTGTATTTCAAAGTTTTTGTGAGAGATTTGGTATAGTTTGGTTTGATCAAAGATGAGCGGGTGATCCCTTTTTTCGCCTCTTGTGTCTAAGAAGAATAATTATTTCTATTAAACTGGATTTTTAAACCAGGGAAAGGCGACTTCAATGTTTGAGTTTTTTTCTTTTTGGATTGGATTCAGTTTAATAGAGTTAGCAATGTTTGATCTATTATGTTTTATTAATCAGAGATTGTCCTTTGAATGATATGAGATGGTATGGATCACTATCTTTTGTGATGTAATATTAGTTTGCGGAATTAAGTCAACCCAAAAAAATTCCTTAATAGCCTACTTTTGTTTCTTAAATTATGCCTTGATTGCCTAGACAACATATTGTCCTGGCTATAATCAACAACTTCTGATTGTTTTTCGGGCTGTCAAACACAGAACACCACCTTAAAACACTAATGATATATCGGTTTTAGTAATTTCACAATATTCATGCATGCGTTTGGTGTTTGTGTGACTACATACGAGATAAATTGTATCAAATGCTTCATACGTGTGAGACCGTCTGTAACACATATGTTAAATCAGAGGATATATGCCTTAAGATTTTGCCGAAGTAAATATGTTTGTTTGCTATGCCTTTCTTTTTTACTGTGCTCAAATCAATGGCCAACAAGACATAATGCATTTGCAATGTTGGTGCCTGGTGGAGGGCTATCTCTGTTTGACTCTGACGTTGGATGAGGAAGGAGAAGCTTTGTCAAATAAGTAACATAGATCTTTTCAAATACGGAAACCATCAGATCCTAATCAAAATACTTTCTGAAACATCACAAGATTTGTTGATTTTGCATTAGAGACTTTGATTAGACAGCTTTGCTTAACTGTAATACCCATCAGATGGTAAAATAAGTAATGGAATTTTGTTCTGTTACATATTGCCTCAAGGTTACTGGTTCAGCTCCAACTTTTCCTGAAGAAAGTGCATAATCTATAGCTTTGAGCATCTGCCTCGCTTGTCCTTTAGCATGTCTTAATTGAAGGCTTTACATTTAAGAGATGTATTCTGAATAACACACAAGAATTCTTTCATGAAACTTTCATTGTAATGCCCTGGATAATTATTTCCTCTTCCTGATTTTATTAACTTTTATGCTAATTCTCATTGTTTATGTCCAGGTGGTTGATCTTGTTAGAAGAGCAGTCCCACTTGCTCTAACTTCGGAAGATGATCCCATGAGGGATGAATTAAAGATGCTGAAGGAGAAGAAGGAAGAAATTGACATGCTAGCTCATAAGCAAGTTCAACGCATCCTCTGGTGTGGGCTGGGTTTCTCTATTTTACAGATTTGTCTTTTCTTCAGATTAACATTCTGGGAATTCTCATGGGATGTTATGGAACCCATTGCATTTTTCTCCACAACAACCGGCATAATCTTAGGCTATGCCTACTTCTTGTTCACTGCAAGAGATCCCACTTACCAAGACCTTATGAAGAGACTCTTTCTCTCCAGGCAGAGGAAATTAATCAAGAGGCACAATTTTGACGTTAACAAATTCAAGGAATTACAATTGAAGTGCAAAACCCCTCATGATGCTTGTACCTCTCTCAAAAATCGTACAGGGCTGGAACTGGACATTGAGGATGCTTTACATAGGGACTAACTCAACTCTCCACACACATTATTTCGCCCAAAATACATCATCATCCAAGTCTATTTTGGTAACCAGTTTGTCTCCTCTTGTTTTCATGAAGGTAGGGCAAATATTTAACTTCTTTTTTTATTTTCACAAAGTAGCCATCAATTTTGTCACATGAATTCATTTTTATGCCCATAGTAACCTATCTCTCAGCTTTGACAAACACTTACTTTTCAAGTTGCTGGTTAGTTTTTTTTTTTTTTCTTGGTAGGTTACACGGCCTGTGTCAAATATATTACATTCGCAGACCACTTATGAGACTATTTGTACTTGGAATTTATGAAAGCATGTATGAATTTATTCAATCTGTGACTCCTTATCATTTTATCTGCGTCGAAAAAAGTGTAATACATTGAAAGTGGTTTACTATGTTTGGAATACTTTTGTTTTGCTCCGGAAACCGGTTGCTGAAGTTGTAATCACATACTGCTTGTGTTTTATATCTCACCCTTGCTTACTCCTAGATGCATAACTGTCATCACAGATAGATCCTTTTTGTTAGAAGATGTTAATACGAACCATTCTTTTCGTAGTTTCAAATCCTGACACGTATTTATCATGTTATATTCACAGATATAGATAGTATTCTTAAATAGTTGTCATTATGCCAGATTTGTTTAAGAGATAGCAGAACCAATGACGATCATTGATTACTATTACATGGTTAAACTTAAGCAATTTGACTTTACTCAGCTAACCTTGAGACCTTTCTTCTAATCTTAAAACAGGAAAAGCTAAAGGATCAAATTTCTTCCTGCAATCCAATATCATAAATTGAGAAGTCACAGTCACAAGCACTATGGAGAGATGGGTGGGTATCCATAGTTGCTTGAGCTTGAAGAGACATAGTTTGAGAGAGTTGGGCTCTTACTGCTGTAGCTTCTGCAGTAGCTGCAACCAATTCACTTTGCAATTGTGAAACCTGGGATTGCAGAGAGGCTATGAGACCAACACTACCATAAACTGGATACATCACCCTAACTCTTTCTTCATACAGCATGCTCTTTACTGCATCTTCTCTTCTGTCTGCTGGAATTCTCTGCAAATAAATTAACATGATTTAGTAATTCAAATTGATGACCCATGTATATAAATAGGTAAAAAAAAAAAGGGAAGAAAAAAAACCCCATTTTGCAGTTGGACATAAACATCAGGCCGATTAGAAGGTACCACATTGTAAAACTAGGATAAAGTTGAGCCAAAAGATCTCAATTCAAGATATATTCATGAGGAAGTGAAATCTCTTTAGGATCTATTCCAACGTTTAGAAATTGGTTACTAGACAAAGATAAACCGCCCAAGAAAGGCATCAAAGCCCTAGTAGCCCTACTAAATGATGATTCAACACTCGTGATTAGTGGAATATATGTACATATGGTGCAAAGAGGATTAAATGTGAATGGTAATCAGAACTAGAAATATTACTTGCAACATTTTGGTGAAGTTACTGCAGCAAAGATTCGATGAACAGCTTCAAAATTGTGAGACTCAGAAGGTGGAAAATAAGGTAGAAAGATGCATTGAGTGGTGCAACGCCTGCGGAGAAGCAGCACATGGCATATTAATTTGCATGCAAACTCTTTCAATTAGAGGATTATGGTTACACTAACAATGACAAATTTGATATTTATTGAGCCCAATTGGAGTTGCATCTGGAAAATGAGATGCAACATATTCTAATAGATATTGCTGGATGAATATGCCATTGGCTTGATTTTTATGGCTGCCATTTTCATTAAAAAGGTCAATGGAAATCACTGGAGAAGTCGATCAATTATTAACCAAATTTTTACGTGGGATGAGGCTAGTAGGCTACATTTGATAATACTGTAGTGTAGGATATTGGGAGGATTGCATCAAGTAATGATACAGGTAAAGGTAACCAACTCCAATTTGGATTATTCACCACCAGAAATGAGGTCTGCCTCACAGCGTCAAATCAGGGGCATTTTGTGGGGCGCATGGTGAGAACTCCGCCGGAACTTTGAGTCTGGGACACTGGGCCAAGATATCCTGAGTTTACAGTGGTGATTAATTTTTAGATTATGATTCAAGTGGAGATTAAAGTAAAGCTATAGAGATAATTTTGGTGAAAGTTCAATATACGTATATAAAGTTTGAGATTTCAATTGTGTATACGTAACTTTAATAATAAAATCTAAACAATATGAAATATACACCGACACCGACACCGATATAAGAGAAAAAAAGTTTTTAAGGGAATTTTTTGAACTTTCATATTAAATAGGATTTGAGATTTGAGATTGAAAAATAAAATCAATATGGATTTAAATGTCATGAGTTAAGGAACGAATGAGCCTAAATTGATGAAGCAAGACATCATAATTCTATCTCTGTTTTCCAACAACAGCAATTTGGAATGAAATCCATTTATGAACAAAAATGCCATTGTTGAATATCAGAGGTTAGTTTATCATTGTAAAGTACATTTAAGTTATCAACTAGTCATTTACATAGGCAATCTGTATCACCAATCCAATGCATCTATACCATTACAATAGCCTATAAAGATCATTCTTCTTAAATATAATGAATTCACCTTCCAGGGAAGTAAGCAGATCAATCACAGCTCCCGCTTCCGATCCATCAAAGTATTCCAAAATATTAGACAGTGAAACCTGCAATAAGATATCCATATTCAGATGTTACTATGAGCAAATGAGAAAAATGTGTAGACTAACTTCAGGGCTCTTTTTCAACTCACCCCCTCGTCATACTCCTGAATAAAGTTTAAGATGGAACTCTCTGTTGCTCTGAATGCACTGGAACTTCCAGCTTCATTTTCAACTCTTTGGCGTTTCATTGAACCGCGTTCATCATCATCATCATCATCATCATCATGGGCTAGCTTTGGTCCCTTGACACTTGTGGAAGTAAGAGAGGCACTTTCTTCATTATTGTGAGATGAACAATTAGCAACCATATTCTTCGGCGACTCTTCAACTACATGAGGTCCTTCAATGTGGCTCATCATCATCATCATCATGGGCTAGCTTTGGTCCCTTGACACTTGTGGAAGTAAGAGAGGCACTTTCTTCATTATTGTGAGATGAACAATTAGCAACCATATTCTTCGGCGACTCTTCAACTACATGAGGTCCTTCAATGTGGCATGCATCAGTAGAATGTTCTCGCGGTGCCTCGCTCAGAAATCCATCAGCTTTGTTGTGGCTAGGTGCCATCACTTCTTGCAACTTCCCCCATTTTTCCATTGCCAGAAAAAGCTTGATATGTGCGTAACTTATCTGGCATCATTGGGCAAATATATTCAGTTTTATTCTCAAGTAAATGACATGAACAAAAATCTCTATACATAGGTCAATAAGCACACATAAAAAAAAAATTAATACAATGGATTCATTCAAAATATCAAAGAATTGACTCAAACACATCAATCTTACATCCTCTGGTAGTTCATTCTTGATGGGCTTCAACTTGTCTGTGGAGCCAACCTTTGAGATTGCACCCTGAATGGCTAACAAAATCTCGTTTGTCAGTCCAATCTCAACACACAGTCTGGTCCAATCAATCTCAAATCCCTCCTGCACAGCCTCTAAAAGATACTCGACAACAGTTTGTTCTTTTATAGGAGCTGACCTACCAGGGTAGTTCTACGGAGAAAAATATAAGTTATGCACTTCAAAAATGACTATGCTGTTAAAAAGATATTTTGTTATAAACATCAAAGATGTCATACAGCAATTTTCTGAATTGATAGATCCTCTTCATGCCACATTTTCCAAGCTTCAAACTTTGCAGGCGTCAGCGGTTTTCTTATAGAAATAGTCTGTAAACCTACTTCGCCATCCAGGGAAAGGTTTAGTTTTTGAGAAAGATGCCTAATAGTTTGAAGAAGATGATTCCCGTGTGTCATTACAAGGTGCTGCAACATTAATCAACATTAGATTGATATTCTAATCTATATGAAAAGAGCTTCATCCGAAGGAAATAAATCTTATTTTCTTTACTAATAGAAATTACTTTCTCAAATTTACAAATAAAAAATGAAATAAGCAAAGTAAGGTTAGTCTCAAGTACTAACAAAGGGTACAGCAAACCATTCTTTTTGCTTAAGTGTCTCAATGTCCCAACATACTTCCTGATATACATAATTTCCTTTCCTCCTCGAGTATGGAAAGAAACATGCACCAGTTCTTAATGTAAACTTGATCAAATCAAGCTAAGAAGCGAGAGAGAATCATTTATATAAAAATGTTAAAGAAACATGCACCAGTTCTTAATGTAAACTTGATTTCCATATAGTAGGTGAAATAATAAAGAGCAGAAAAATTGAATATTTTAATAAAAAATTTCTCTCCTAGGTCCTAAATTCTCTATTTTGTGAAAATAAAAACTGAAAATTCATATACAAACACTGATTGCAAATTTTGAGAGGGAGAAAAAATGATAAACGAGAAATGAGTTAAAAAATGAACAAGGCCATAATGAGCATCAAGAGGACAAATGGAAAGAGAAGATTATTTTAATGCCTCCTAATGACATGGACATACCACTGGGAGCCATAGAAAATATGAAGAAGTAGGAGAGAAAGTGGAAGCAAATAGACAGTAATCAGTGGTCAATAGAATATAAAATACCTTACTAAAAACCTGACCAAACCAAGATATACTTGGAGTTGACATAGACAAACCTATGGCAAGTGAACTGTAAAGGAATTTGATTTACAAGTAGAAAGACTTTTCTACAATTGCTCAGAGTTAAAGTTAGTGTAAGGACAGTTGGGATTGCTCATCTTTACATGGTGCAAACACCATGATAAAAAATTACCAGCCATCAACTTTGCAACTGCAGTGAAATGAATTTTGACTTCCCAAACAACCCGAGAATGATTCCTAGCATAAATTGCTGAAATTGGATAGAGAAAAGATAATAAACTAATAAGAGCAACTCTAAGAGGACAAATAAGAAAGGAAAGAAGGGAGAGAAAAGAAAATAGAAAAAAGAAAAAAAGAAAGAGAGAAATAACCAATCACACAAAAATATGTTTCACTCTGCAAGTAATGTGAAAAAGAGGGTTCCATGTAGTTGATGAACCCCAACAGAAAATGAAACTTTAGACTACATAAAATTACCCTATAATCAAATATCTTATATTCACAATTATTAGGCCAATAATTAAAGGTCAACAAAATTAAGTATATATAAAATTAAGGTGTATTATAAGATTTATACCCAATCATATTACAACACAAATTATCACATTCCTTAACTTCATTATACTTTTGTTCTTTAATACACATTGGGATACATATACAAAAACTAATCTTTTCTGTTCACCAATTAATGTTTGAAAACAAAATTATGTAATTTATGATTAAGGAAATTGTTTAGCTTATGCTGTCATATCCTGAGAGGTGCATGACACTCATTCTGACAATTTGTGCCAGATAATCTATATTGCAACTGCTCCATAATACTGTCAGTTTGCATAAATCCTCGATTATAGTGTAAATATCCTTCCTACAAACAGTTTTTGTAGATAATCTATATTGCCACTACTCTCTAATATCATTGTCAGTTTGCACTTGTACCCCACGGTAGTGTAGATACTTATTTCACCCATGGTAAAATGAAAATACAATAGAAAAATGATTACCACCCCATTAAATTACCTTCCTTCTACCTACTTCTTTTCTGAGGTTAATGAAAGCCTTATATGAGAAACTAAAAGAGGGAAAAAGTTAAAGGTCCTGCACACTATATCATTATTGTCTACAAAAAATAAATTATATTCTTCACAAAGCATAAAGGATACTAAGTTCCAAGCTCAAGAAAACAAGTATTTTGGGTAAGTAACTGCTATTTTCCCTATTGTTAAGATATACCTGGTTGACACCATCGATGTTTGCCAATCTTGCTTTAGTAGATGGCCTTATTAATGCAATTTTCTTTATAGTTTGATCACCACATACAGCATACCTGTGATGAGAAAATAATATTTAGCGCACTCACAAATGACACATTCCATCTAAATAGATAGACATAAGGTTTCCCCTGTAATCTATAAGCCAATTGCCCTTACTAAAGGTAGCCTTGCTTAGATGAGAAAAACTTACGGAGCAGTTCCAGAGAATCTTGCAAGCTTCATTCTCTCCTCTAACAGCATGTGATAGAGTTGTGCCTCAGCCTGAAGTAGAAAAAGACATACATACGCAGAGGAAAAATATGAAGTCAAAGACCAGAATTTTAGAAGTGAAGATATAAAAGCACCAAGTGAAACAATAATGTCAGACCAACCTAGTTAATGTGCCCAGATCATTTGTAAGGTTTCAGTGGGTAAATCATCTCCCACAGGCAATTTAGAAATAGAACCCTATCATACTAAACCAGATAATTTCAACAAAGAAAGAAAAAGAATTCCTCAATTCTCAAGACAATGTTGAAGGAGATTTGTTTGAGGAAAATATATTTAGCAGTTCCAGTGCTCATCATTAGAAGAAAAATCAAATACATAACAAGAAAATATGGGAGATGTGAACATTATTTAAGGCATTGGCTAAACAACAAACTGAAAAAAATTTATTAGAGAAGCTATAAATATGTTTTTGCAGAGATCTAATGACTATTATCCTGAACTTGGAGTTTATGCTCACTTGTTTAGAGTGGAAAAATTGTTTTGGTTTAATTAAGAAACTGAGAGAAAATCTAGCCGATAGCAGTACAATCAGAAAGTTAAAACCTCAAGTGTCATTCCATCTCAAGTAGTAGAACTGCTCTTCAACAAATAGCAATACTAAAATGCAAGGATGCAGTACCTTTTGACACTTGAAAAGGGCTTCATGGGTATCACTCTGAGAATCTAAGTCTAAATCAGTCCAGAGACTCCAAACATGGACAAAAATGCATGATATTATACTAGATTACTAAACAATCCAAACGTATAAACCGAGAAAACCTCAGCATTAGATTTTGGAATCTTGGTCCAATCAGGTTACAGATGCCAGAAGAGTGGGATCTCTAAAGTCTGACGTGATTCAAACTTTTTCACTCCTAATTCTTGAAGACTCAATGCAATAATACAACGGTAGAAGCAAACCAGATTGAAATAACAATAAAAGAGAAAAATAACACTTATTTACCAACCTCTGAAAATCCCTCATGTTCTAATGTCACTAAACTCTTCAGTTCTCCAATTTTGCTTGATGTGCTTTCATGTTCCTCTTCATCAATCATTTCACTGGTTAGCGGCAAAACTAAAGGTGGTTGATGATCAGATCTTGCCAAACTAAGATATTGCTTTCCCTTCTGACTGACACTGATGCATTGAGATATAAAGTTGTAAAATTAATTGTAGGTACAAAATTGACCAGAAAGTAAAATAGTAGTCTTGAACTGGTGGCACATAAAAAGTGGCCGTGAGAAAAATTGCAAAAGCAAGGAAAAATTACAGCCAAAGAGTTTGATAATTTGCAAATAACATAATAAACAAACAGAACATACCTTACAGTTCTGTAAATATCTTTGACAGTCTCCATTAAATAACCTGCATTAAGTTGCAGCTTTTAGTTTAAGACCGACTATAGCTAATTTATTATTCAACCTGAAACGCTAAAAGACAGTGCAATCAGTGTCAAGGTTAGAACAAACATTCTATAGATAAAACTCATTTAAGACAAGAAATAAACTAAATCACTAAATTAAAAAATGTGAAAAGTTAATAACCACTGAAAATTTAGTATGAGCAAAAGACCACATATTTCTTCAGTTGTCTCCTTATACGTATCATTTTGCATTGTACTTCTAGTACTATCAAAATGAATACTATAGCTACCATAAACAGTCCTGAAGGGTACCAATATTAAACAACTAATGTAGTCCTAGTACCAGAAGAGATTAATTGGTAAGCCAGCGCTTTCCACCAATTTGATGAATGATCCCTACCAAGTCCATGAAGTGGAAGCTTGTCAAAGAGAGCATCAAGAACCTTTTTTGACTGTAACCACAATTGAAAAGCAATTATTAATAATATAAGCACCGATCTCAGAACTAAGAAACAGCAATAGAATCAAAGCAAATAAAAGAAATTTGTGTCATCAAGGCTGCTGTAATACAAATAGGAATTCAAGATAATGAAGAAAATTAAAAGGATCTGGAAAGTTAGTTGAGTAAATTTCTATAAAATATTTTCTTTACAATTTCAGGATTGGTATTTTCTTTATTATGCAGGATTTTATGATTTCCTTGTCTGAGTCAAAAAAAAATTGTTTATGATTAGGACCAGCTAGGATCTTTCATAATTCACATACTTATCGTCTATTTTCTCTTCACAAAATTCAAAAACTCCTGGTTTAAGTGGTTATATCTTGCAGATTCAAGACTTAACTTCTAGCCTATTTTCCTCCAGTACATCAAAACTCTGGAATGACTACAAAGCACTGAGGGTTGGAGGAAACTTAGTTGGCAAGGCTTATAACAGGGGTGATGCTGTCTTTAGAGATTATAAAGGTTATCACAAAGGTAGTTTTCAGTCAGTATAGGTATTCATGAAACCTTTTTTGCAGACCTCTTAGCAGTTATTCTTGCATTTGACAAGGCTTATACCAAGGGTTGAGAACCTTTGGTTGGAATGTGATTCAAGGGCTGTTTTAGGTTGGCTAAATAATTCTCAATTTGCAGCTACTTGGAAGTTGAAGATAAAATGGCACACTTGCTTTATCAGATAAGGCAAATAATTTCATGAAAAAATAGAGGAAAAACTTATTCACACTTATTCACTTAAAAAATACATATCATACATCTCTAGTTATAGACTAACTCTAGATATCTTGATAACCTTAAGTTAGGATTATCCTAACTTTTAAATTTAAAAACTAGATAATGCCTAGATAACTCCTAAGTTTTCACATTCTTATCTTAGGAATTCAACACTCCCCCTCAAGCTGATGATAGTGTCTATGCAATTCCCACTTGGAGGTAAGACATCAAAACTTTGTTTAGACAATCCTTTTGTAAGGATTCAGCGGTCTGCTGGCTTGTAGGTAATATAACACACAAAAGCTTCTCTTCTATCTTTTCTTTGATAAGTGGCGATCTATCTCCACTGTTTGGTTCTATCATGATGAATTGGATTGTGTGCAATTCCAATTGCAGCCTTGTTGTCACAATAAGCTTCATAGGTTCCTCACTCTTGTCCCAACTCAACTAATAATCTTTTCAACCAGATCAGTTCACAAATACCTGTTGCATTGCCCTAAACTCAGCCTCTGCACTACTCCTTGCTACTACAGTTTGCTTCTTGCTCCTCCAAGTCACCAAATTTCCCCAAACAAATGTACAATATCCTGAGGTAGACCTTCTATCACTCTTTGAACCTGCCCAGTCGTCATCTGTGAAAGCTTCCACCTTTCTTCATTAGTCTTCCTAGAACAGTCCTTTCCCAGATTTTTCTCAGATATCTTAAAATTCTATTTACACTCAAGATGCTTCTCTTGTGGATTGTGCATATGCTGACTTACAACACTTACAGAAAATGCTATGTCAGGCCTAGTATGAGATAAGTATATCAATCTCCCAACTAGTCTTTGATACCTCCCTTTATCAACTGGTGTATCTCCATTTATCTCATAAGTTTCACATTCTGTTCAATGGGAGTCTCACAGGTTTGCAACCTAACTTCCAGTATCCTTCAATAAATCCAGAACATATTTCTCTGAACACAAATTCCCTTCTATTCCTTGCAATCTCCATGCCTAGAAATATCTTACTGCCCCAAATCCTTTATCTCAAAGTCTCAGCAGAACTTTTTTTACCATATCCATTTCTTCAAGATTATCCCCTGTAAGATAATATCATCAACATATACTATTAAGATAGTAATCTTACCATCCTTAGTCTTGAAAAACAGTGTATGATCAGCTTGTCCTGAATAAACCATAACTCCTGATAGCCTTAGTAAATTTCTCAAACAGGCCCTAGGAGACTGCTTCAACCATACAAGATTTTTTCAGCCTGCACACCTTCTTGTCAGCCTGATTTCCTTCAAAACCTGGTGGCAACTCCATAATAACTTCTCTGCAAGATCACCATTCAAGAAAGCATTCTTAACATCCTTGTTGCAAGGGCCAATCTAATTTGTAGCAAGAGATAGAAGCACTCTAATAGTGTTCAGTTTGCTACAGGACCAAAAGTCTCCTCATAATCTACTCCATAGGTTGTGTGAACCCCTTAGCTACCAATCTTGCCTTGTATCTCTCAACTGTTCCATCTGCCTTGTATTCACGTAAAAACCCATTTGCAGCCAACATAGTCTTCTTTTCTGGTAAGCCACCAGCTCCCAAGTCTTATTCTTTCAAGGCCTTCATCTCCTCCATTACAGCCTCTTTCCATTTAGGATCATCCAAGGCTTCATCTACTGATTTTGGAACTCTATAGTTGAAAGATTATAACAAATGCACGAAAACCAGAGGACAATTTATCAAGACACAAACTTAGAAATAGGATGTAAAGTACAGATCGAACTCCTTTCTAAGAGATATGGAAGATCTCTCTTGATTCAGACTTACGAGACAAACCTTTTCCAACTGATGACTGTGAGTCAATGACTTCTTCTGGTTGGGATAATTGGCCTTGCAGATCATTAAGATGCTCATTACTTTGATGATCAGCTTTCCGAGAATAAAATTTCAGTCCTGGCTGATTGAGTCTTGCTAATCCTTCCCCTGTCTTTTTGTGTTTCTGACCTACAATTTCATGATTTTCTGTTCATAGAAATGGGACTTATAGCCTCAGAATCTGGTCTAGTTAGAAGAGGTTGAGTTAGGGTAAATTCAGGTTTAGAGGTGTTGATGTGAAGTAGGATTAGAATTCTGACTTAAGAAGTTTTATTTCCCAAAACAATCTTCATTTAAGTTCTCCCCCTGAAGAGAAGGATTGGGAAAATAAGTGAGACTCAGAAAGTCACATCCTTAGAAATAAACATTTTTCCCTTAATAGGGCAAAACACTTATAGCCTTTCTGTGTGGGAGAGTATCCTACAAACACACATTTAATGGCCTTAGGTTCTAACTTCCTCTATTCGGAGAATGGGCATGAACATATGCAGTACACCCAAAAGTTTTCAAAGGAAGAGAATTGAGAGCTCTAAAGGTAGGAAATGTTTCAAGGAAGACAGACAAGGAGTATTGAACTCTAAACTCCTAGAAGGCGCCTATTGATTAAATAGGTGGCTTGAGACTGCCTCACCCCAAAAATATTTAGGCTGTTCATGGTGAACATCAAGGCCCGGGCAACCTCTAATAGGTGCCTATTTTTTCTTTCAGCAATCCCATTCTGCTGTGGGGTATCTCACATAGCTTTGGTGGATAATCCCATGGCTGGATAGATAATTTCCTAGGATAGAATTGAAATACTCTCTACCATTGTCAGTCCTTAAGATTTGAATCTGTGTTTGGAATTGAGTTTTAACCATGGAATGAAACTTCTGAAAATCTGACCTGCTTCAGATTTTTCTTTCAAAAATATACCCAACTTAGTCTAGTATGGTCATCAATGAAGGTAATAAACCACTTAGATCCTGCAATGTTGTAACCCTAGAGGGTCCCCAAATATCACTATGGATTAAAGAAAAGGTCTAGACTTCTTGTAGGGATTTGCTGGATACATTGAACGAGTATGCTTTGCATTTGGCAGATTTCACATTGAAATAATGATAATTTTTATTTCTGAATAATATATGAAACACCTTTTCAAATAAGGAAAACTAGGATGGCCTAATCTTCTATGCCATAACATTATTTCTAATTACCAGAAACTGAGGCAGAATTACACCTAGATGCTATAGCTGGATTATTCTCATTACCTTCTCATCAAAGTAGTAGAGCCCTCCTTCTTCTCTAGCATTGCCAATCATCCTCCCCGAGAGTAAGTCCTGAAATTCACAGTGGAAGAAAGAATTTAGCCACACATTTTAAGTCTTGGTTAGTTTGCTAATGGATAATAATTACAAGACAGGCTAGGAACATGAGGAGAATTAAACAAAGATTTCTAGAAGTTGGACTGATCCTTTACCACTACATTTGACAAGGAACCGTCAGCTGTTTTGACCTTAAGATTACCATAACATGGACTGTAAGACACAAAGACACTTGAGTTACCTGACATGTGATCTGAGGCTCCTGAATCTATAACCCAAGGTTTGTTTGTTCCCAAACTAGTATGCAGAGCTGTGAGGGAATTACCAGTCTCAGCAAATGAACATGAATGACTTGAAGAACCAAATGCCCAGAACTGGACTGACTAAACAACTCATGTAGGTGTTCTAACTGCTCTTTGCTGAATGGTACAGGCCTTGATGATCCTCAACTTTCAGAGATGTATTTTCCTCCACATCAGCATGAAATCCCTTGCCATTAGGTTTATTTGTCTTCCAATTTGATGGTCTGCCATGTAGTTTCCAGCAGGTAGCCTTAGTATGCTTTGGCCGATGACAATATTCACACCAATTTTCTCTCCTCGTCTCAACAGTTTTTGATCTACATTAGGATTGGTATGTGTCTCCCAACCCTTGGAAACAAGAGCTGAGGACTCTGATTGTGGCTGTGTACCCAAACTGCTAGTTCCTGCTAAATCACCCATCATCACTTTCCTTCTCTTTCTCTCTTCTTACTTCTGCAAACACTTCACGAATAGAAGGTAAGGATTCTTTTCCCAAAACCCTACCTCTCACTTCATCTATTCCTTATTCAGCCCTGCAAGGAACTCAACACTCTCTCCTTTTCCAACATCTTAGTGTACTTTACATTGTCTTGAGAGCAACTCCATTTTGCCTCATAGATAAATCCAACTCTTGCCACAACTTAGCCATACACTATAATATGGGTTACAGACATGTTACCTGTTGTTGGTCTCTCTCAACCTTGATTTGATCTCAAATATCTGTGCTGAATTCCCCATGTCTGAATATGTTTCTTTTGCTATTTGCCAATATCTTTTGCAGTGGGAAGAAACAAATAGAGCCGCCTATCTCCTCCTCCATGATTGATCAACCAGGCCATTACTGTACTGTTCTCAGCACCCACTTCTCATATTCTGATCATCTTCCTTCGGAGCTTTGACTGCTCCAGTCAAGTAACCCAATTTCCTCTACCTCGAACCATCAACTTCATAGTTTGAGACCATGGGATATAATTTTTTCCATTCAATTTGGTGAACACTAATTTGAACGGAATTATTATCATTTAACTGAGGTTGGACTCCTGTTTGTCCGGATTGCAGATCTGAAGAAGGAATCTGTTGAACATGTGGTGGACTTAGGCTCCTACCCTGCCTGCCACCATCATGGCTGTTTAAAACCATCATTACTATGGCCAGAGAACCTGGCTCTGATACCATGAAAAATAGAGGAAAAACTTATTCACACTTATTCACTTAAAAAAATACATATCATACTCTCTAGTTATAGACTAACTCTGATATCTTTTTTAAATTTAAAAACTAGATAATGCCTAGATAACCTCTAAGTTTTCACATTCTTATCTTAGGAATTCAACATTTCAGATGCTCTCTCTCATTTATCAGGAAGAAATTTTGGTAAATTACCTTGTTTATAAAGGGCTCCTTCAAACTGATCTCAGTTGGTGGGACTTTCCTACCAATATGATTTTGGGGGTGAACCTTGCTACAAGTTCACTTAGCTTAACCTTCTGGTTTGTAACCCTTTTGCTATTCTGATTCTTGCTTATTTCTTCTATCTAAAGATTTTTTTTATTTTAATTAAAAAGAAGCTAGTTTGATTTAAAAAATTAAAAAAGAAAAAGAAAAGACTCGCAAGCCCCACATGAAGCTTAGAGAAAGAAAGGGAAATTGGATGAAATATCATATTTGGGGAGTCCTGATGGAAATGACCAAATAACCTATATATATATATCTCCGGCCTCATCTCTCTCATGTCTCTAACACACTAAACACTCTTAACTTCTCTAAATGAAATCAAACAACATTGGAAGTCATGATTTTTACAAAACTTACATTTTTAGAAAAATGGTTTTTTTGCAAATATAAAAAAATTTGTGTTTTTTGTTTAGTTTTTGAATAAAAAAAGGTAATTATGAGTGAAATATAGGTTTTTGGGGAGCAAAAATTTGAAAATGGTAGATTTGTTGAAATCTTATAGTGGAAAAACGAACAAGTCAAAACTCTGATCCTTTTTCAAGAAATTACAAGATTCTCGTAATTACTGTAATTTTAGTTAAAATATACAAGGTTCTTCTAGAAATTTTACAATGAAAACATTTTGGAGAGACCCTGTAAACTTTTGGAAGAGACCTCAATATATTACAAAATAGCCCACATAAATTTCTAGATAACCTTAAAAAATTACAAGAAAGGACCTCATAAATGTTGACTATCAATTTGGCCCAAAAGTTATGATAATCTTGTAGTTTTTCCAAAAATTACAAGAATGTCATGAAAAATTACACAAATCATATAAAATCCATAAATATCAGGAGAAATTTTTACTTAGATCTCGAATATGCTCCTCTTCCTCAAATAAACCAGCAACCAATTACACCAATTTCACATCCAAAACGCATACTTTTACAAAAGCATATTCTCATCCCATATTTTAACCCCAAAAAAGAAAGAAAATTAATCTAACACATTTGCATGAAATCAAATAAGTTTTTGGTTCTAACTATAAACTCTAACATTTCTACATGCCAGGATGATGTACAATCATTGATTATCATACGCCCAATGAATATACTAAAATAGAGGAAGGATGAAAGATACAAACATAGAAGATGAGAGTATTTTGATATTCAATTAAAGTTACCGGTCGATATGGGAGAGACAACAAATCAAATATGATTATTCCCTCAATTTTTCCCAAAGAAAAAACCATCAAACCAAGATGCACATCAAGATAAAGAATGTATTTGGATTTAATTTTACAAAATCATTTCCATTGGGAGAACCAAAAAAAGAACAAAAAATCTTATAAACCCCAACATCAATTGTCCCCACAAAAGCTATAAAAGAGTTAAACCTATGGGTGCAATACAGGAAAAAAAGAAAAAAAAAGAAAAAACGAAATTTGAGACTCTTAACAAAAGTTGACTTTGCACGCAAACAGTAAGGAAAACGACAGTAAGGAAATCATGAGGAGCTAACATAATTTGAAACAGCTACAACAGAACAAAGTTCTTAAGCATCATTGACAAGGAATATATAAACAAGAGGAAAAAAGAGAGAGAGATAATAACTTGAAATTCGCACTCTACCATATGTCACCAACAAAACTTAGAAATAATAACCAAGGAATGGATAGTGTGAACTATCATAGAGAATATGGATTATGTAGAGAAGGATTGAAATAAGAAGGAAATCAAAAGAATTGAGAAGAAATAGATATTAAGAAAGACAAAAAACAAAACATTCCAACAACAATAATAAGCCATATGTTCTTGATTCTGCTTTCAATAGATATTCTACTATTAGACAAAGACCTTACTCGAGACCCACGAAGAACGTCTATGGGCATATTGAGACCCCAATTACCCCCACATGCTTGAATGCAAGCCATTAATATGTATGATTCCTTAGACATGTCCCGCTCCCTCTTTAAGATTGTGCAGTTATCACAATTTCCTGAAGTCAGAAGGTGAATAAATTACACAATATCTAATAACAATTTACAAAATTTTGTGATGCAAGACATCTTGTTTACACATGATAGACTTATTATAAAGATGAAACTAAGATAGAGTATTTTTTTAATATGTGCAAAGCCCTCTAATAAATGAGTAGTATTATTAGAATCCCCAAGAAGTGATAAGATGAATTAGGACCAATAATGATGCTAAAGTCTAAATGAATGTTGAACATTAAATGCAAGGGAATAAACCAATTTGTCTTTATGTGTGTAAAAAGGTAGATGTCAAAACAACTACTAATGTCAAATATTATATGTTGAGATTAATGATATTCATATATTCGATTCTACATTTATTTTTCATTCAGCATGAGCCCAATTACGTTCTCTATGATCTAGGTGTGAATTGAGACTTACTAGTAGTTCATTCCTATGCTAATATTCTCACAATACAGGATAAAATAGGCTCTTTATTGATAAGATTAAGATTGACGTACTTTATTGATAAAATTGAGGTTGACAAAAACCAGATTGGGCTTGGGTCGGGTGTCAAAACCCAACATGGATTTTACCTAAGGAAGCAGCCCTGGTCTTGTGTTCCTTGAACCCAAGTAGGGTGACAAATGAATTGACAAGGTCAGATCCTTGCCTTGTTTTTGGTGGGGGGGGGGGGGGTGTTTGTTTTTGTGAAGGTGTTTACACAATTCTGTAGGGATGGTGCTAAAAATAATCCTCGAATTGAATCCCTATCCCTCATACCCACCCAGCCCATTTCCCCCAAAATATAAATAAAAATATAAGCAAAAAGAAATATCTAATAATTGGTTGATTGATGCTTCTTAATCAAGAACTTCTAAGCCAAATCCTAATTTCAATCTATAGATGGTTTTGTTACATGTTCTGTTTTATTGTTCTACTGTTCTGTTGTTGGTGATTATTAGTCCAAGTCAGTTGGGATAGTTGAGTTCAAGTCAGTAGGGATAGTTGAGTTCAAGTCCGTCGGGATAGTTGAGTCCAAGTTGTAGAAGTTGACCTGGTAGAAAGGGAAGAGCTAGCCTTCTCCTAATTACTTGGGATCTAATATTTTATTTTTCATTAGAATGATATCAAAACCAAATGACTAGCCTTCTTCTGCTTACTTGGGATCCAACATATGAGACATTTGCATTTCTAAATAGTCAAACAATTCAGATAATACTGAAACACTTTTTGGAAATGATTCAAATGAGTAGAGTTTTTGTTTAACTTATTAGTTGACTTTTTTCCTAAAATTTTCTTTGAGGAATTCTTCATAGAATTTATCAGAGAAATTACAAATTCATGAAACCATAATATTTGCTTTCACATGATTTTCATGAAAATGATTCTAAAGCATTTAGCTTCTATCCAATAGCAAAGCTCTTTTAGTAAGATCACCCTAGACTCAAGAAAGGAGTAGAGGCACATCATGTCATAATATGAGTTCAACTTTGAAACATCATATTATCAAAATGTTTTTGAAGGTGTCGACAGACTTGGTATCTCAAGAGACAGAGGACTAGCCAAAAATTTAGCGATGCTGGAAGTCTTTTTAGGAACTATAGTTTTAAGAACATTCAAGACAATGTGAGTTAGGGGTGTTTAGAAAAATGCAAAAATCGAACTGAACTGGTAACCGAACCAAATTTTCGGTTAACCGAAAAATTGGTTCGGTTTCAGTTCATTGAAATTGAAAAACAGCATTTTCCGTTCGATTACCAGTTTGGGAGAAAATGCAAACCGGTTTTACTAACCGGTTATATATATATATATATATTAAATTAAAAAATAAAAATAAAACCCTAAACCCAAATCCACTTTACATATGTATGAATGTTTAATTTTTATTTAAATATGTATTGTTGATGTTTACATTTTAAATCAGAAAAAATTAAAAAAAAAAAAAAATTAGTTTAAGCCTTAAGGGAAAAACTAGTTCAAAACCGGCTAACCGGTTTTTTCTAAGCAGTTAACCGGTTTTTCGATTAACCAAAAAACCGGTCTTCCCCTAAACCGGTTTGGTTTCGGTTCAGGAAAGTTCCTGAACCGAAAAACCGGTTTGGTTCAAGAAAACGGTTAGCTGATTCAGTTAACCGGTTTTGAACACCCATAATGTGAGTACATCAGTCTCATGGACATAAAATTAAACAAGTTAAAAATTGATTTTTTGCAAGCTTTTGTATATCCAAACCAGCAAGACCATGTGTGGTTGGGTGGATGTAGGTATGCATTGAATGACATATGTACTAAATATTTTTCAAAAAGATAGAAAAGGAAACACATGCATGTTGATACCTACATGTGATGAAGAGGAAGTTGCAAATCTTATAGACATGGGAAATAAACAAGGTAAGAGAGAAACATTAATGCTTATAGATGAATACCAGTAAACTGATATATTTAAATTGAAGGCATACCACATTTGTCAGCTGAATATATTTCTCCAAAGTGATTAAGCAATAACTTTCTTCTGCAAGTTGTCAATAAGCAATAGTGTTGTGCAGCCAACAGTGACTCCATGACAGCTTTTCTTTGGTTCTCCTGGTCAATAACAGCCAAAAAATTATATTAAAACTAAGGTATAATATTCCAAGGATAACTTGCTTGGAGACAAGCAAAATGTAATCAGACATAAATCTATATAATAGAATAATAAATAATTATAGCCCAATCCATAAAACCAAAGCGAGCATAAGGTAAAACAAATTTACAAAACAAAAGCTTAGCAAGTTTCTTAACCAAAAAAGAAGAAGAATTTACTGTTTGGGTTTCTCCACAGTAGAATTCAGCCTTTGCAAAGTCACTTCTTGCAAAATAAAGCCAACAAGCGGAAGCTATACCATCTCTACCACATCGCCCACTTTCCTGATAGTAGCACTCCAAACTCTTTGGACAACCATAATGTATCACATGCCTTATGTCAGGCTTATCAATACCCATGCCAAAAGCTACAGTGGCAACCATAACACGGAGTTCATCCGTAATAAATAATCTGAGACAAAAACAAAGGGTTCAATTTGGCAGGACAAGGATCATGCCAATCAAGTGATAATGCAAGGGCAAGGCATATATTAAACGGCCGAAAATCCATTACCTCCCTGATCTTTCCATCCTATCACTCGAATAGCAACTATTCACATTTTAATCATACTGCCCCAAACCTTTACAGAAGCTCATCAATGACCACCCCAAAGCTCAATTCCATTGGATTTTTGCTATTTTGACCAGGGCAAGACCATCATTTTACTCCAATTGTCTTGAACAAAACTTATAAAGGGTTCTCTTACCCTTATTCAAATCAAAACCTTAATTTTTTTTTATGTAATATCTTTATTGTCAATCAAGCAGAAAGAAAAAAAAAAAAAGAAAGAAAGAAAGATAAATGGAGTCATCATACCCAACAATGGGTGAAGTGGCTGAGATTGCTGCAAAGCAAACACAGGCCAGCTGACACCAGCAGAGTGGGCTTCGTGCCCCACGCCGCAGCAGCGGTGTGGCCTTGTGAGGCACGCTGCTGCCAGCAGCATGGGCTTCTTGCCCCACACCGTAGCAACAACACAACCTTGCAAGCAATGTTGCAAACAACTGTGAAGCAAAATCTAGCTTTGAAACAAACTCTTCTTCATCATCTTTAAATGTTCTTTGGTTCGAATGAGATTTACGTTTCAACATCCGAAGAAGCAACACCAAAAATGGGTAGATCCAATCCAGATTAAGACATTGAGTTTGAAAGAGATTTAGTTGAGCAATGACTTGGTTGAGTAAGTTTTGGAATTAAACTTACAGGCTTTGAATGTTATTTTAAATTTTAGTATTTTCTTTCTTTTTTTTTTTTTTTTTTTTTTTAAGATTTTAGTTTTAGAGTTTGGCTAAAATGGTAATGTGGATTATAAGGGGTAAAACAGACTGTTAACACAATTATCAACAGCAACTTAATGAAAACAGTTAGTAGGGGTGGTCATTAATGAATTTCTACGGAGGTTTGGGGGAGTTTGATTAAAATGTGAATAGTGCCATCCAAGTGATAGCTTTGAAAAATCAGGAGGTAATTGATTTTTGGTCTATATTAAAGCATTTTCACATATATGACAAATAGAATTGCCATTTTACACATGAAGTATATGTGGAAAACCTGTGAGACTTCTCACGAGCTTTACTTCCCATTTGACCATGATACATTCCAGCCTCAATTCCCACCTCCAAAAGTGCCTTGAAAATCTGGTGAATGAAGTGATTAAAAATAGTGTGAGCCAAAGGAATCATAAGAAATAAATTAAATGAGAAAGCTAACAGGTATATAAAGTACAAATGGGAATACTGAAGTCGTGTTCAAGGAAAATATACAACGAATTGCTACATTGGATAGAAACATCATAAAGTGGTCTCTACATCACAGGAACACAAATGCACCCATCAACTACGGGTGAAGTGTAATTGACAGATTCCATTGACTTCAAATACCCTCACAGGGAACACAACTATACTTCAAAGCATCAACAAATTTTGTACAGTATCTAATGAAGTGTATGTAAACTGGCAATTCTTTTACTACTCTAATATATTCATGTTTTACAAGAAAACAATCTTTTGCTTTTATTGGACTCCTCCCGTTGGGTACACCTACAACAAAAAACCCATGCAATACTCATCCTTGTGTAATGCCATTCCAAAGCGCTTCTCCTAAAATGCCCTCCAGATATAACTTGTATTCTTTTCGTTCTAAGATAAATCAAATTTATTATATTTTCATGAAACCCAATTTCATTTAGAGCTTAGACAATAGCAAACATACTGGGATGATATTTATTGTTTTGTTTATCCAGCAACAATGAAAAGATGTAGCCTATTCAAGGACATGCAAGTTCCAAATTGAAATAACTAGCGAATCATAGGTTAAGGCAGCTGATTTGAGTTGAAAAAATGATAGAAGAAAAATGAAAACAGACCTGCTCAACATCTTTGATTGTCGTGCAGTAAATAATAGTTGAACCAGCATTAGCTACAAACACTGAAATTTCTTTCACAAGCTCATCCACAAATGACTGACCCCGATTAATAACTTTCACACCATAGAAGAGATTTTTGCGATCAAATGATCCAATGGCAACATAAGGATCCTTCATTTTTAGGGAATTCATAATGTCATTGCGGACCCTGGAATGCCAAACAATAATTAAAATATTTATATATATATATTTGAAAAAAAAAATTAAAAGTTCTATTGAACTGATACAACTCTAAGTACGACAAGGACAGAGAGTACTTCAAAAAACACAAAATAAATAGAAACACCACAATAGCTAGTGTCAGAAGGAAGACCAAGGATTTTAAAAATGAAGGTCAAGTCAAGGAAAAGCTGGTAGTAAATGAAATAGTGCTTTTATTGACTATTTTCTGAATCATCAAACAGAATATAAAGCCACAATTGGTTCAGAACAGTCTTAAAGGAAAAGATCCAGAGACAGACAGATAAGAGATGAGTCCGTCCATCAGTTCAAGGCATGTCGTAATTTTTAGATATGTACGGAATAAAACAAATACAATCGGAACCGTAACATCCAGTTATCCATTAAACCTTAACTGCTATTAAATGCATTATGTGAATAGCTTATCTAATGGTTAAGATCAGCTAACAGGATATAATCTATTCAATAAAGCACAGTTAATTTGAGTGTGTGTTTGTCAGTGTGTGTAAGAGAGAAAGACTTATTTGGGGCTTCAAAGGACAGAATCTATGACCATCAGCTTGAAATGGCAACATAAAAGGTCATACAAGAGAGGATGAAGCAAAAAGCAAATCAGTTAACACACAAGAAGCATCCGCAAATAAGCACAAGCTTGAGAAAGTAAAATCTTTAGGACAAGAATAAGATGATTCTTGCAAAATAAAGTTCCATACACTCCAGTATTGGCAACATTTCAGTATAGCATCACTAGCTTAATTCTCTATGACCAGAAAAAGTACATGACGACCAACAGTAATTGCTAATTTCAGCTTACCAGAGATTAGGATTTCAACCACATCAAACCAACTTTAGATGAACAAAAATCCATTTATGCGCAAGCTCAAGAAAACAAATTAAAAACTCAAAGCTAATAAGTGGAAGAACTCAATTAATATAAGTCTTGCAAAACATTACATCCAGCCAATTTAAGATAGATTTCCAATAACATAAGGTACATACTTTTCAGTAGCGGTTGCAGTTAAGCCAACAAATGGAACATCCATGAGAGTATCATGTAACTTGTCTAACTGCTTGTATTCGACCCTGATTAAAATTTCATGGCAACAAAAACTATTAGAAATAAAAAGAAAATATACTCTTGTCGTGCTTGGTCAACTGTAAAGTAAACAAAACATATTCCATGAAGTAACAATTTTACTTGAATGATAAATAGAGAAAAACAATATTAGAATGCTTTTTCTGTTTAAGTAATTTTTCTTCTTATTCTTATTACTTTTTTCATCGAGTTCTGTTTTGCTATTTTCTGACAGACCTATTGGTTCTCCATCTATGTATCTTTTTCATATTACAATTAATTATTTAGTTCCGTATTATATATATATATATTGTGAAAAGCCAGCAGCAGATGACATGGATAATGCTTGATGAGTCAATACACAATGCTGCTAACTAAAGAAAGTATCCAGAAGAGTAAGGAATACAAAACCATAGTGAGAAGCAACATAAAGACTGTCTAAGATGGGTTAAGAGACACTCATCCAGGGAAGATATGAATGAGAGTAACCAATTGATCTAGAAAAATGGCATGGTCATTCATAAATTTAAAACGGACAATATTTCACTCCAATTAATCACTCAGCCAGTACAAGTTTAAACACAGGAAAACCAAAAAATTTGAATTATAAGAACAAGAATCACATTTGAAGAGGAAGAAAAAAACAACCTGAAATCATGGCCCCATTGTGATATGCAATGTGCTTCATCAACAGCGAACAGAGAAATGCCCACTTTCAGCAATTTTGACCAAAAACTGCAGAAATAATTGTATAAATATGGACGAATTGTAGTTGAACTCCCATCAAACATATATAGATTTTAATAACAAATTTATCTTCTAGCACCACGAAAAGATATTTTTCTAATTGACTAAGTGAATCAATTTGGGGAAAAAAATGTAGAAGAGTGACCTTATGGGAATTAAGCATGCTTTTTCTGGAGTCATAAACAATAAATGAAAATGACCAGTCTCAGCTTTTGTCTGGACAGTAGGATCAGTCTGAGCAGAGCCAAGATACTCAGCTTTGATGCCCCTTTGTTTTAAACTCATCACCTGTTTGTTCATAATACCAATAGAATCAATAAGCTAAACAATTATTGTAACCATAACTAGTCAAAAGGAAGGTCTAAAATAAGGGCACATACTGGTTGTGTAGCGTTACCAGATCAATTTTATTATTAGTAGCCGTTACACATAACAATGTTTCCACAATCGTAGTATACAATGTGATTACATATCAATGACTAAAAAATGAAACCAGAACTTGCCGGTAAAATTACTGGACAGGAATCATTATAGGCAAAGCCCTAAACCCAAAAAGTAAAAACCTGATCTTGCATCAAAGATATAAGAGGGCTAACGACTACGGCCGTTTTTCCAGTAAGCAAAGGAGGAAGCTGATAGCTGTTAAACAAACAAAGAAATATATATACGTAAATAACCAATACCTGAAACTGTTGATACAATTAAAAACAAAACAAAAACAAAATCTGAGACGAAGCTTTTGATTTACCATAAAGATTTTCCACTACCAGTAGCCATGACAACTAGGCAGTCCCTTTTGTCTATAATTTGATGAATGACCTCCTTTTGATAAGGACGGAACTCGGAATAACCAAAAAATTTCTGTAAAATATGAATAACATTGTTATAGAATGAAATGATGAATAAGAACAAAATCAAAATGATGAAATGAGTCAAAGGAAGTTGAATCTGACTTTGAGAGTAGACTCCATATCATTTGCGCTGGCGCTTCGTGTTGGGGATTGTGGCTTCTCCGAAGGATTTCGTACATCTTTATGCCAGAAGCATTAGAAGTCCTTTCCCGCTCTTTTTCTTTGGGCTGGGCTCCATTGGGCTTTCTAACGACACCACATCCACAGGATTTAATCTTGAGAATGGCCCATCACGTGCAACGTGGCCGCCAGTCAGTGGACTTGACTACGGATGCATATCTCCCACTCTATTTAATTTGCAGGGAATATCAAAGGAAACCTCTTATTTCTGGAGATTTCTCAAAAACAAAAAACATACATTAAGTTTTAAAATGACACTTTCCCACCTTTCATTAGGCTCTGTTAGTGTTTTCTGTTAATATTTTACTAAAAAGATAAAAATAACATTAAATAGTTTATTTCTTAATTAATTTATTATAAATTAAAATTTAATTAAGTCAAAGTCTTTACTCGATTATTTATTTGTTCAAGTGTAAAGATACCTTTTTTCTTTGTTTATTTAATTAATTAGGAATATTAATTTTTTATATTAATTAGGAAAAATGAAAAACATCATAAATTTAATAGATTATTGAATAATAGTGATGAGATATTGATGACATTATAAATAAATATTAAGATCATTTAACTTTAAACAATTTCATAACATTACTCCTAACTTTTTAGATGGAACTAACAACTTTTTCTTTTTTGACTTTTTAAGGGTACTTTCATCTTTTTAATAAAATATTAACGGAAAACATAACAGAACCTAACGAAGGGTAGCAAAGTGTCATTTTTAAACTTGAAGGGTGGGAAAGATCATTTCGTCAAACCTTGGGTGGGAAAATGTTGTTCTCCCATTAGATAATTTGAATAACTAATAGACTAACTTGTCAATTGATGATAATATATTTAATAAATTAGTTCGGTTTAATGGAAATTTTCCTCCCGAGGTTTCCTTGAATAAAAGTTTCCCTCTCAAATTTTAGAAATAATAATTTACCCTCTGTCTTCAATACTTCATTAGAGTTTGGTTATTTAATTTAATAGATTAGGTGTAAAATATGTTAGTCAATTAACTGAAACTGAACAAGAACATAGAGATGAGGGGGTATATTGTTATTTTTGATACCTGAGGGGGGAAATTTTATTTGAGGAAACCTAAGGGAAAGAAATAACTCAATTGGGCAATACAATACTTACAACCTAATCTTACAAATTTTATCTTACAATTCCGACATGACAACTCTTAATTGGTCAACTCGTAATAAGTCCTGTTTGTCAAACAATAAGTCTCGCTTATCTAACTGTGAGCTAACCAATTACGAATTACCACGTCGGAATTGTGAGATAAAATTTATAAAATTAAGTTGTGAGTCAATCTTTATTGAACTCTATTAAGTTAAAATAAGTCCACCAGTTTAAGTATTACCATGGGTAGGGCTGATGGTTTTACTCTTTAATCTCGGTGGGATGATAGTGATGTGAGAGCTTATATTTATTTAATTCTTAAAACAAAAGAAAATTGAAGATGGAATTGTAGATAACTAACAAGATGAAGTAGTCCAACCGCCATACTTTGTCATTTTTCCAACGTTTGCTTGGGCCTTGAGAGTGCCTTGAAGTTGAACCTCAACAGCAGCCTTGCAAGGACCTTCTAAGGTCGCGGAACTTAACGAGAATGTTGCTTTCGAAATCAACACTTTGTTTGGCCTTGTTGATGCACAGGCATTTTTCCATGCACTGGTCAGAGGCTAAGAAAAGAAAAATAACTTAATGAAGATGCTTAATTTGAACAAAGAAAAAGTTAAGAGACATTGAAATCCTTATGCATATGTATTTTGGATTGCACCCGAATTATCTGGTCCATTAGCTTTTCTGTCATCTTTTGTCACATCAAAAACGGCCTAAGCTTCGGTTGTTGATACAAGCAATATCAATAAAAGCATATAGTTCTCACTACGCTACTCGATTTCGCCACCTAATCCATTCTTCCTTTATTGTTCGTTTGGTTTTTTGCTTTAGTCTTTTGGGTGAGTAGAAATGAAATCCTAGATATGCAATAGTCATTTTTATAATGCGCTAAAGGAAAGTCATGCGAGTGATCCCTAACAATTTTATCACCAATTTGGTCCTCCACTTGAAAAGTGTTGCAATGTATTACGTTATAACAAACTTTTCCGTTATTAGTTTCCTTAATTTGTTTCATTTACATTTGACTAAGGAATCATAGATGGAAAAAAGGGGTTTATTCTTTTATAGAAATAAAAGTGCTTTTGCACTATTCAGTTTTAAACAAACGGAGACTAAAATGAAAAGAATTATTAAAACTTAAAAGCGTGTCGTGTTTAAGTAACCCGAATTATGTATTATTGTATTTTAGCATTGGTATGTGGTCAGGGGAGAAAGACATACTGTTGTGTGTGATTTTTCCATCAAGCTCGATGAGTTGCGAGGTATTAGATCGACTCAGAATTAGTCCGATTCTACCGGTTGTCCGACCCAGCCTTAGTTCGTCAACATATAACTCGACCCAGCACAACCTAGTAGCGAACAACCCAAATGATCATTCAATCAATTCCCAAATAACTTTAGATCCCAGATATTACGGGAATGACCAGATTAACAACAACCTCTATGCAATCAAAACGCCTAATCGCGAGAATATCGAAGTTGCAGTTCAATCAATTGTAATCCCTTTATTTTTGCTCTTTCCTTTATACAAACCTTGTATATAAACCCCCTCAAATGATGAAAAAAGGGTTAGAAATTTTCCATAGAACTCTTATTGTAAGCTCTCACAACAAATACAAGAACAGTGGACGTAGGCATAAGAGGTTACCTCGCCGAACCACTTTAAAAATCTTATTATCTTTTACTTTATTGCATCTATCATTCACCCATCGTTGACTATCCATAATCATGCCCACATCCATTCTAATTCCGCCAAGGTCAATCAGATCTCTCTGGTTGGTGCGAATTTTCATATCAACATTTTGGCGCTAGAAGGAGGGCGCCTCCACCAACATCTCAAAAATTTCGGCGAACAGCCACAACAACCTACTCAATTCAGGCTTGTGATGGTGCGTACTAGATCGAAGAACACCACCAGAAACCACGAAAATGTAGAAACCACCCATCAGGAGATGCAACAAGACACCGCTGGACGTCGACCACCTATGCCGCCAAGTCTACACATCACGAATAACAAGGGGGCAGAGTCGTCACACCCCAAAAAGGGCCAACTAGTGGAGATGATCAGAACAATGGTTATATAGTAACCAACTGCCTAGAACCTCGACCAGCCATGCTTCGCTAATGCCTCCACAACAGGTATGAATTCAGTAGGTGGCCAGTCTAACTCGTTAGCGTTGAGAGGTGACCGATACCCTACCATCATAAACTCCATTCCACTCACGAGCGTGAATCTTGTAGGCAAACTAACCTCGGGAGACGGCCAGGGAAGCAACCATTGGGTGGGAGCGAAGGCAACGGTCACCCTTGAGATGCCTAGTAGTATCCCCAACGTCAACGTGCCGGTCTTAACCCATGCTCGAGATAGGCTCAATCCTCGCAAGCTCACGAGACAAGTCATATGCGCCAATCTGGCAATGACCAATATTCCGGTTATAACCAACGTCGCAAGCAACGCATCGACGAGAATGATAACACCTATCAACCTAGCCATCATGACACGACTTCGCACATCAACACACGCAATGGAGGTGCTTCGCAAGCCATGGACTTACGAACTCACTTGTTCAAAGTAAGGCTGAACTGAGCCAGCTAGGGCAACCACAATGAAGATTTAGATCGTGTGTAGAAAATGTTTGACAATCTAAAAGCCTGCCAAAACGGCGCAAAGGAAGAAATAGTGAATTCCCCATTTATAGAGGAGGTTCACTAGGCCCTACTTCCACAGGGATTCAGGGCATCAGAGAGTAAATTCGACGGGAGAGGGGACCCTAAGGACTACCTTGACAATTTCAACGACCTGATGGAGCTACACCAGGTTTGTGACTTAACTAAATGTCACTGCTTCGCAATCACATTAGTAGGGGATGCCAAGAGATGGTACAAGAGACTCAAGGCGAACTCCATCAATTCCTGGCAACAATTCTCCTCGCTGTACCTGCAACAATTTCAAGCGAGGAGACAGTTCGTAATGCCCCTCAGTTACTTGAGCAACATTCATCAGAAGAGGGACGAAACACTGACCTCGTATTTAACGAGATTCCAGAATGAACAAGTGAAGGTTGCGGATGCACCTAAGGAGTCCGTCCGAACTTTTCTGATTGCAGGCATTAGGCCAAACACAGAGTTGTGGAAAGAGCTCCAGAGTAAAGATCATGTGAGTCTGACCAAGTTTTATCAAATGGCTACAAAACACTAGCGAGTGGAAAGCTCGCTGGCAGCATTGGCCAGAAGCTCAACACGAGGAGCACTAGACAGGCGACAAGATTACCGATCAGACAAGTGTGGGGGTTAAGACCGCAATGATAAGGATCCCAACAGGTCCCAAAAAAGATAGAGAATAGATAAATGTGGGACAGGCAGTCGTTGTCGCGATATGTAGAATATACCCCCTTTACGCGAGACATAGCTCACATCTATGAAGTCTCCTATAGAGATTACCCGCTCCAAAAATGATGAAGGGGGCTCCAAGCAGAAGGGATCGACAAAAATATTGCTTGTCGATACCACTGAGACATTGGACACAACACCAATGAGTGTCAGGCTTTAAAAGATGTCATCGAGGACCTGATACGAAGAGGGCACTTAAAGGAATTCGTCAAGAAGGCACCAGCTCACGAAAGTGCTAGTGAGCAAAACAATTAGGTCCAGAACCAAATCCAGCAAGCCTCGATGAACGCCAACAATGAGGTCCTAGTAGGTATGATCTATGGAGGGCCAGACATAGCAAACAGCTCAAGGTGTACCTGCGAACAGTATGCTTGTGAGGCCAGAATAAACTTAGTCCCTTGAATCATGAGCTATGAACAAAGGCCGTCCAAGTGGCCCAGACAAGAGAGTGAGGTAATAGGATTCACAGTCGAGGAATGCAAGGAATCCCCTCGCCACAATCATGACGCGATTGTAATCACAACCATAATTGGTAGTGCTAAAGTACTTTGGGTAATGGTCGATAATAGAAGTACA